CGTTCTTCACTTACTGAGGATAAGGCTTGGGATTTAAGGTTTTGTATTTCCAGCTCCATGATGGGTGATGTTAAATATAGAAGGATGCTGAGGTTTGCAGGGGCTTTGAGCTATGCAAGAGTAAATACTAAAGCTTGAGTTGCAGCCAACTGGCACGCATGGAAGTCTTTGAAGAATATAATTCAAGAAGTGAAAAGAAGAATGTAAAACCTGTGCTGAATGAGAGCAGGAGTCTGTGAAACCTGGCCAACCAATAGGACCAACAGGGAAAATAAGAAATGCTTCTCTTTGTAGACAAGCCTCTGAAAGGGACATTCCATCTCCATGGTCCACTCTGAGGGCACTGCCAACTAGAGATTAGTCCATAGGACTGGAAGAAACGTTGGCTACACAGCAAAGTATCCATTCTGCATTTGGTGCAGGATCTGTGGAAGGTGGGGTAGTGGATCCCCAGCAGGTTCACAAATGCAAATGAAGCCATTGCATATAGAAAGATAGGAATAAGGACAAATTATTTTGCTACCTCTGAGCCTTCTTTGGGAGTATCACCATGGAATGTTCACAATTATTTGAAACATTTTAAGCTCGCTTGATGAATTCCTGCCCTGTCCCTGAGGAAACAGATGACCAAGAAGCCTTAGACACCCACCCAATTTCCCCACTAGTTGGAGTGATATTAGAAGTGAAAACTTTGAAGTGAATGGCTCCACTGCCTTCTCAGTCACCAGAATAAGAGACTGGTTGTATTGTTTATATTGTGATACTAAGTGTATAAAAAGCCATACATGTTTCTGTTTTCTCATTTCCAATGTTTCTGCTATGTGGATGAATAAATCGAAGTGTGCAAATTATTTGAAAATCCTCTGAGAAGATACTTTTCAAATACAGTGTTCTTTTTAACCAATAAACTCAAACTATTTTTACAGCACTGTTTTTGCCAGAAGTTGTGAAATCACTTGTGTACATAGGGGAAGTAAAGATTAAATGCCTGGCCTAAAGCCACTCAGCACCACAGAATCAGCAGTTGAAATCTCATCTCTTGCTGCCTATTTTAAGAACTGTCCTGGTTGGAGCATAACTACACTTACACAGCATTAGAGCTGGATGGGACTATTAAAGATATCTGGTTCTTCTCTGATATGTAATTCCTTTCTGCCCACCACCCTCAAAGATCTCTTCCTTCATAGGGAGCTCTGTCTCCTGGTAATTCTATTTTAGGAATTATTCAGATTGTCATATTAAGTCCAAATCTGCCTCCTTGTTACCACTCTGGAGTGGCAATCTTATCCCCTCCCCCACTTTATGTTAAAACAGCCAGTTTCGAAACTAAGTAGTAGCCTTAGATGTCATGATATTGGTTGGACAGGAACTCAAACCCTGCTCAACAGGATATAGTCCCAAATGTTGTCTCTCACAAGCCCACCAGCACATGCTGGGCTGCCTTTTAAAGTGCCAGGCACACTTCTGGTATGTAAAAGGAGTATCCCCACCCTTTTAATCAGGAAAAGAATGGCTAGTAATGCTCTGGGCCTTAAATTTTGACTGAGTTGGGGTAATTTATTCCCAAACTATCCTGATTCCTTGTCCCAGTCTGCTGCCTTATCTCTTGCTCACCCACACTGGGTTGTGTGTGTGTGTGTATACACGCGTGTGTGTGCGCGCTTGGAATATCTGTCCATGGGTCTTTGCAGCATTCAAGTGTACAGCAGTCGGGAAATGGACACTGACTTCTGGACAGTACTCTGTGTACTTGTACCCTTGAAAATAAAAGGTATCTGATGAATAGCATAAGCCAAATCCTGGGCGCTTGAATTTCTTAAAAGCAACAGTCAGGATTTATGCTCGCTTCCCGCGGGATCCGCCTCGCCTTCACCTGGGGCAGGCACAGGCCACCACACTGAAGGAGGTTCACCTAAGCATCACTGTCCAGGGATCTCGGCTGCTAAAAGTGCCCAGCGGCGAAAGGAGGCTCCTCCAGCCTAGTGCACCATGACAATCACATGGGGTTGAAAGGCTGTGTAGCCCCCAGAGCTTCCCGCCTCCCGAAGCTTCCACCGCAGGAACAGGGCTGACCGGACCATCCTTTTGGCATTTCCAGTGTCAGCTTCAGCTCGGGTTCCTGGCCACAAACCCCCGGCGCTCAGGTCCCCCCCCCCGAAATTGAGGTGCCGCCCACATTTCCACCGTGACGCCGGCGCAGGGGCTCGGGATTTGTAGTCTCTGGCAGGGCGCGCGCGCCGGGACCCGAGCCTTGTGGACTTCACGTCCCGGCGGGCGGCGCGGCGCGGCCTGGGGCCAGGGGCGGGGCCGCTCGGCCCTTTAAACCTCTCTGGGCTGCTCCGAGGGCCGCAGCTGGAGACGGCGCCACGAGGGGGCTGAGCGGGGCCAGGCGGCGGCGGGGCACTTCGGAGAGGTGCGTACTGGGCCCCCTTCCCGGGACCTCCAGAGATCACTTTGGGGACTGGAGGGAGAGTTCGGGTCCTGGGGGGCTCGCGGGCGATGGGCTGCAAGCCCAAATCGGGGTCCCCGCGCGCACGCGGATAGAGAACGGGCTGAGCTCCCAGCGTGAACCCGCCACTTTCCCTGGGAGCGGGTGGTCAGGCGCTTGCCTGCGGCTGCACCGGGGGACCGGACCCGCTCCCTGGCTTTCCTTGGCGTGCCTGTCCAAACCCCAGCCCCTCTCCCAGCCCGGGTCCCGCAGGCCAGGGTAGTGGTTCCCTCTCCAGATTTATGGCCCTGGTCACTCCCGTGGTATTCTGGTGGAACGCGGAAGCCCCCGCTGGATGTCAGAGGGGGTGTCTACGTTCCGGCGTGGACTCAGCACAAAGTTTGGGCGCTCGGAACCCCAGCGGGAGCTCGAAATCTGTGTTGACTACCAAGCCCTCCTCACCTTCCCCCCACCTCTCGCCCCCGCTATGGTCAGTCACTGGACCTTGGACTTTGATCTGTCTCTCTCCACCAGGCCAGGGCAGCTGATGGTTTTGGAGAAATTTCTTAAGGTAGCCGGACCCGCCCCCTTTCCCCCACCCATCTCTTGTCCTCTCCCCCACACCACCACCATCCTGGCTTCCCTCCCTCATGACCGCCTGGATCCTCCTTCCTGTCAGCCTGTCAGCATTCTCCATCACTGGCCTATGGACTGTGTAAGTAAAGAGGGGGAGGGTTAAAGACAACTAGGGTACAAAATGGGCCCAGGCTCAGATCGAAACTGCCCATTCCAAGATCCGACAGGAGCTTGATGGCACACACAGTCCCCTGTCTTGTTGCAGGATCCAGGGTGGAACCCAGGATCACTGAGGCTGTCTCCAAAGCCTGGCCTGGTGACTGGGCACACAGCCTCATGGGACAAGCTAGCACCACTGCTCATCAGCAGGGTAGCCCCAATGCACATACTTTTTCTAGTCAGGGTAACTTCCAAAGGTCCTCTAGTTGGGGGCTGTGCTGTTCTGGTGTGTCAAGCCTCCAAGCCAGCCCACATGAGTGCCAGCCAGAACACTGATGTTGATGGGATCAGAATCATGAAAAAAGAATCAGTGGGGGAAGGCTGGGAGGGGTCTACAGGCAGAGTGACAGCTGTGTTCCCATAGGTATGCCATGGCCGTGATGAACCGCCACGTGTGCCCCGTGGAGAACTGGTATGGTGCGCTCTGCAGACAGCCTCACTCTAAAGCTCCCTTCATCTCTGTTCCCTCTTGGGCCAGGGCTGCTGCAAGCCAGATGGACACCCTGGGCCTCACTGCTCTTCTCTGACATTGGCAGCGCCTGCCCCTCCCCAGGCATGGCTTTGTGCCCACCTACCTGCTTCCACCATCCCTCACCCCTTGGGCTTCTGCCTCAGCCGGGCCTTGGGAAGTGGGCTCTTCAGCCACTGCCAGGGGAAGTTTGGGAGCGTAGTCTCAGAGAGGCCTGACGCTACAGGTCAGGGGCCCTGGGGAACCCTTTCCCCCAGTCTACTCTATATCCTGCCTGCCAGGTCCTACAACGAGTCCTGCTCTCCTGACCCCACTGAGCAAGGGGGCCCGAAGACATGCTGCACTCTGGATGATGTACCCCTCATCAGGTGAGGCGCAGAAACTGGGCGCACTGGGGAGACCCGAGGTCCTGTGGGAGTCCAAACCTAGCCCCCCAGTAAAGGCCTATCCTCGCACCCTGGGAAGAATAATTATGTCGAGGGCATATAATAACTCTACTTAACAATGACTGTCTGCACGGCGCTGTGCTGCACACTTTACGTGCATGTCATTTCTCCTCCCAGAGTGGAGGCAGCTATTATTTTCACCATTTTATAGGCAAGGAATCTGAAACCCCAGAGTTATGTCATTCGTCCAGGTCTTCTAGGTAGTAATTGGAGGCACTGGATTTCAGCTCCAGCCCTCTGATTGCGCAGCCTGAGTTCTGGTTCAAGGAAGGTCAGACCATGAAGTCCAAGGAGCCTCAGGGTCTGCCAAGCAGACCTGAGCACTCCCTTACCACTCAACACATGCGCTCGGCTCTGGAGGGTGGGATGACCCACCTTCGAGCCAACACTGTGAGCAACGCTGGCCCTTCTCATAAATCAGTGGCTTGCCTGCTAAGGAGTAAGCAGATAAAGCAAGAGAGGAGGTTGACCAGAATGGGACCTCCTGGGGCTTCTACCTCTCTCACTCTGTCCTTGCTCCTCCTCCTCCTCGTCCTCTCAGCAAGTGCGGCACATATCCCCCAGAGAGCTGCCTCTTCAGCCTCATCGGCAACGTAGGTGCCTTCATGGGTGAGTTGTGCTCTCAGCCCCCTTTGCCATCCCACCACCCCACCACCTCCCCAGAAAGGTCCAGAAGCCCTTGCTCAGCATAACCTGCCCCACCAAGAGCTAAGGTGAGAGGGCCACTTTTCTTCCTTGAAGGCCAAATGCTCACCCCCACACAGCCACCCTGCTGGCCATTGTCTGGAGAAACTGTTTACCACCTCTCTATTCCCCTCCGCCCCTCAGAGCATCTGGGGGTGGAGCTGGCAGGCTGTTGTGGCAGAGCGGGCAGGAAGAAGACACTTGACCGCACCCATACCCTCTTTCCCCAGTGGCTCTGATCTGCCTTCTACGCTACGGGCAGCTCCTGGAGCAGAGTCGTCACTCTTGGCTTAACACCACAGCACTCATCACAGGCTGTACCAATACCGCAGGCCTCGTGGTGGTCGGCAACTTCCAGGTGCACTGCCTGCCCATCCTTCTGCCGGGGGAGGGAGGTTGGAGGAACGTGGGTAAATGTAAGCACGTTTCCCTTTCTACATAGTCACCGACATGCCCTTTAGGCATAAACTGGTTTGGCCACTTAGAAAGCTAGAATGGTCTTCACTTTAGAAACATGTTTATGTCTTCAGGTTTCTTAAAAGAAAATGAACAAAGTCTAGATTGGCCAACAGTTAAAGCGCTGAATCTGTCTTTACTTGGTAGAGTAGAATGACTTCATTCTGGAGAGTTGGTAGGGTGTATTCTTGGTCATCCAGTACTTTTTTTTAAAAAAAACTCCCATGTGCCCACCTCTCCCAATAGTGCCTCACTACAGTGGCTACACTAGAGTCTAGGAGGGTCCTCAGTCTCCCAAGGATTGACCTGAGCTGCAGGGGCAGCCCCTTAAGGCTGGGGATGGGAGCAGGGGCTGGGAGGGAAAGGGGGGTAAAGGGAGAAAGCGGGACAGAAGTGGGGTGAAGCGGGTAAAGGGGTAGAGAGAGCTGCTTCACAGACCAGCCCCTCTCTCCGGGCCCAGGTGGATCATGCCAAGTCTCTGCACTACATTGGAACTGGCGTGGCCTTCTCTGCTGGACTACTCTTTGTCTGCCTGCACTGTGCCCTCTCCTACCATGGCACCACCACTCCCCAGGACCTGGCTGTGGCCTACCTGCGGATTGTGCTGGCAGTCATCGCCTTTGTCACGTTGGTCCTCAGTATCCTTCCAGGACAGAGCAGCCAGGAACTTATCCTCTAGCCCAGTCCTTCTCCCACCCAAGGGGGGTGGGGGCCACACCTTCCTGAGCAGATAACACTGCACAGCATCCTTCAGGGCGATGAGCCCTTGTCCTTTGCTCCAGCCCAGCTCTCTGGGAAGGCAGAGGGGCTTGCAGGCTCCCACACATCCTACTGAACATTTCCTTAGCCTCTTCCAGGTGGTGTCTTCTTTATCCACGAGAGTTCTCAGCTGCAGCACGGGGCAGCCCTGTGCGAGTGGGTGTTTGTCATCGACATTCTCGTTTTCTACGGCACCTTCAGCTATGAGTTTGGGGCAGTCACCTCAGAGACACTGGTGGCAGCGCTGCAGCCTGCCCCTGGCCGGGCCTGCAAGTCCTCTGGAAGCAGCAGCACCTCCACGCACCTCAACTGTGCCCCTGAGAGCATCGCCATGATCTGAGGTCTAGGGTGGGTGGCCTGCCCTGCCTCTAAAGCTCCCCAACTCTTATCTTCTTTGCATTTATTTTGTACCAAAAACAACTTGAGAAAGTATTCAGTTGGGATCCAGACATCCTCACTCCCGGAGGAGTGGCCATCCCACACCCACCTGTGCCATAGAGGAGCGGGCCCTGGCACCCACCTGTGCACGACCTGCTCCCCAACACCACAGTGTTATTTTTATGTTTAAAGGTCACATCCTCATTCACTCAGCCAGTCCTTCAGGTGCCTTCTACTCCCCAGTGCCGAGGTCAGACCACTGGGGTTTCCTGCTGCAGTCACTGGGGGCTGGGAATAGCAAGGGATAGAGAAGGGGGTGGAGGGGGCGCTGAGCACTCCCTTGTCTTCATGAAGCCCACTTTGGGCTCACTGTGCTGCACTGGGAGCTTACTTCTTCACTCTGCCCCTTTCATTCTTTAGGGCAAAAAACACAGCAGAACCACATGGGTATTTTAGTACTTTTTTTTATATATCTATTAAAAGAATTCTAATTTGCATGTTTGTGTTCTGTTCTGGAGAGTCAGAGAGGGCCTGATCCAGGGTGACTTTCCCTAGGCAAAAGATGGGGGGGAAGCCTCTGCCCCCAGGGAGAGTTGTGAGTGTCTACTGCTCTTTGAGCAAAAGACGCTAGGTGCTATCCAAATAACCCCAAGGGCCTGAAGCCCTTTCTGGGCCTTGGACAGTCTAAAGAACTGACCTGGTCTGATCATTTCCTATTTCCTTTCCTGGTCAGACTCTGGTTTGAACTTTGAGTCTTAGAGAGAGGCCGGTTAGGCAAGATGCACAGAGCAAATTTAAAATGTTAGAAGCAATTTTTGCAGTGGAGCTAAAGAGAGTCCCTGGGATCCCAAGGCTGACTAAAAATTTGCAGGACAAGGGGTACTCGGGCTAGTTTTTCTTTATCATCTTTGAGTAGCTACTAGATACCAAACCCCGACACATTTTGCTTTCCAACCACTAACACAAAGGCCCAAACCTGGCTGGTTCAATGGCCAGGTTCTTGACCTGGGCTCCACCACCCTAAGTTCAGACAAGCCAGCATGCTTGGCAGGGAGGATAAACTGGTGCTTTCTGCACCTCAGGGCCACCTTCTCCAATAGCAATAGGAACCTAGTGGAGGATGCAGAGCCCCTGCCCAGGTCTGTGATCAATGCAGCTTCGGGGTGGGTAAAGAAATCTTTAATGAGGATTTAAGGTGTAAAAGGAAGATGTTGTAGAGGACCAGCACACAAACCCAGGCGCCTCATGTGTACATTGCTCCATGGAGGTTCTCGAGTCGATGCTTCTGCTGTAGCTTTCGAGCCTAAAGGAAAGAGGGCAAGTGCCATTCCTCAAGGCCTGTGGATGGGACAGCTAACACGGAACCAGCTTTTACCGTTTTCAGGTCCTTAGTATCTGCATTGCCAAGGCTCTTGGCCCTCACCAAAGTCACTGGGAAGGCAGCCAGAGCCAGAACCAGCACCTGAGAGCCACCCAGACCTGCTGAAGTGGGGACTGAGAACACCAAGGACAGGCACTGAGGAAGCCCCATTATGATCCCCTCCACTTACCACCAGCTCCTACCTTATCTCGTCTGTGCTCCTCATAAGTGTCATCATCAGTGGGCAATTCATGGCGGCACAGGGGGCAGGAATTTGTCTGGGAAAAAGCAGGGCAGTGTCTAGTCTGGGTCTGGTCTTCATAAACTACCTTCCCTTCCCTGCTCCCAATTTGCATCTCTCTTCTCCCTTCTCCCTAAACAGAAAGAGGCTTGACAACTAGACCAGGGGCAGGGTAAGAGCTGGGAGAAAGGAAGCAGTAAGTACCTTGCTTAGCCAGGGTAGAATGCAGTTGGAATGGAAGAGGTGATGGCAAGGCATCTCAATGGCAGTCTCCTCCTCCTCAAATTCCAAAAGACACACGGGGCACTTGAGCTCTTTAGGAGGGAGTGCTGATCAGGAGAGCTATCACAGACCCTACCTCCCAGCTCCCACTCCTGGAGGCCACTCTTGCCCCAACCTGGAAAACTGAAGGTCAGACCACAGTCTGACTTGGGGAGGGGTTGGGTCTGGCAGACTTGTAGCAAACAGTGGAATTGCTGTTCTTACCAGCCTGAGAGCCCCTGATGACTGTCCTGGGGAGGTTCTCAACCACAGTCTTGGCAGCAGGTGGTGGCAGGTGGTGATCCCAATCTACTACCAACCCCAAGTCTTCAAAATCCATCCTATTGAAAAGTGACCTGGGAAGAAGGACACAAGTTCGAGACCAAAGAAAAACCCCACCTTTTTGCCCCTGCAGTACACTAAGCCTTAAGAGATAAACACCTTGTCTGGCTAGTCTAAGTAATAACAGCTACCCTTTAATAATGCTCACTAGCGAAAAGCAAAGTGAGAAATGATCTACAGCTGCTCACAAACAACCCCAGCACGCAAGCTGTTTATTCCCATTTTACAAATAAGCAACAGGCTCAGAGAAGTTACTCAGGCTTGCAGGTGTGACCTGGTAAGGCCAGATTCCAAGGCACAGTGTCGGCTTCCGTGGACGATGTTCCTAAGGAGTCAACCTACTCACACCCACTCGGCCTCTACCCCGCCCCCCGGGCTCCCTTTCCACACCTAAAGCCCACTGTCCTTCGCCCCCGAGAATCTTTTTTGTCCAGCTCGTCTCCCCAAAATCCCCTTGCCCGTGCCCAACCACGGTCCATCCAAATTATCGACCTCCCCCCAACATCGCCGCCGATCGACTTCATCCGTCCGCCCCAGAATCCGCTGTCCCAGATAACCCGCCCCCTCCAGGCAGTCCCGGGTCAAGAAACCCGCTGCCCAGGCCCGCCTCCCAGCGCCGCGCACCCACCGTGCGAGCTCCAGCAGCATGTTGGTTCGGGTCTCCTGCTCGGAGTTCAACGGCTCACAGTCGTGTTCATCGAAATAGGACGCCATGGCTGCCGGCAGCCCGACACGGCCCTCCGCCCTGGACTGCGCCCTCCCGGCGTCGGCCAATTAACTGGCCGGCTGAGAGAGGATGGCCAAGCAGCGCGGCCGAAGGGCGGGCGCACCGAGGCGTTTGGCCCCGAGAGCGGAAGTGCTCGTCCCGCCCGCCTCGTAGGCTCGAGAGAGTCAGGTGACCGCGGGCCACCGCCAATGGCAGAGGCCGAGGTGGTCAGGAAATACTCGTTCGGGCGTCCGCCTGGGAGCCGTGACTTGTGGATCTCGTTAAAGCCCTGAGAAGCCTGATAGGGTGATAGGGATCTCAGCTTGCTCGGAGGCCCAGAGGGCCTCGGGAGTTCAAATGCTAGAAGCATCTTAGAAGGATGCTCTGGCCCAGAGCCTCTGAGTCTAGAGGAAGAGCCTGGAGTCAGGGCTCTTGCCGCTCTCTGCTCTGGCCCCTGCCGGGCAATTCTGCACCCGCTGCGCTCTCGTTGGTCCCGGAGTTTGCGCTTGATTCCCTGGCCCTCAAAAAAATAAATCAATCAATAAACAAAAAGTTCCTGCTCTTCTGTGTTAGGCGCAATAATAAAGGGTGGGGTAAACCTCTCCAACCGAGAATGGAAAGATCCCCGTCAGTAAATCTGGAGCATTACCTGCAACTTTGTGACCTTCGGACTGTTGCTCCACCTCTCCCTAGATTATGGACAACTAGTGGCTTGACTGAAATAAGTCGTTTGTACACCTATCTACCCAGAGGGGTTGCAACTTTAAGAAAAACAGAAACCAGAGTCATACCCTTAAGGATTCTAATCTAAGCCTGGACGTGGTATTTTTTTAAGTTCTACAGGTGAGTCTAATGTGAGATACTAAATGATTTGGATGATTGGGCATTTAGAACGATTGCATTATAAATAGTCCCCACAATGGTCCTATCGTTACATATGTAAAACGTGAGTCCTGGAGGTCACATGACCTCTAAGAGCAGGTGCTTCCCCTAGCTCTTTCCCAGAAAAGGAAGCCAGTAATGGACACAGTGGAAGAACAAGCTCGGTGAGGGGGAAAGCACCACACAATCAGTGTGTTTGTTCTTGTTTCCTGTCAGTAGCCCTCACTCAACCTAACAAGGAACTGCTTCTGTTATACACCTGATCTTGAATCCCTCTTCCTACCCACACTTGAGTTTGAGATGCTGTTTAGTAGCCCAGGCAGAGGCCGCCCTGCTTCCAGTCTTGGTTGGGCCTTCTTGCCTTCTTTCCTGACGTTAATTACCCAGTGAGCTTTGCTGTGGCCCAAAAGGCACTGTCTTTCGGTCCCTGTGTGGCCCTGGAGCTCTGAAAGGCCTGAATTATTTCCTACAGGGAAAACTCCACGCATCACTTTAACTCTGTGTTACAGAACCACAGAAGCATTTCTCATTCACTGCCATCTGCCTCATCTGCAATCTGGAATAATGCTTGAGGGAAAATATGGGCGAAGAAATTGGGGAAGAAGAGGTGTTCAGAGGGAGAAAAGTCTATCTGAAGGTGAGAGCCTCCAGATATAAAAATCTTTGAAGTGTTTTTCTCTTTGTCATCCCATTGGTCCTCTGAGCGCCCCCAAGACATCAGAAAAATAACAGACTCCATCCTCAGGGAAACAGACTCAGGGCCTGGTTTAGGGTTGGTTGTGTCTTTACACCTGTACTCCAGAAAGATCTGTTCGTATAGAGTTGGATAGGCTAGGGAAAGACACAGAAGCGCCACCCCCACCCCCCAACCAGCCAGGGATAGAGTTGTTCAGGTGATGGCTTACTAAGCAACCCCAGGGGGAGAAGAGAGCAGGATGAACCAACCTGTAGATCTCTCCTCTCTCTCTCTCTCTTTCTCTCTCACACACATACACACACACACAAACACCAGCCTTTAACCATACAGCAGCTTTTAACCAAACAGCAGCGTTTACTGAGCTCCAGGTGGGGCTGGCCTGGCATGGCCAGTGCAGTACAGTGGGCTGCCCTCAAGGGCAAGTCTATGGTGTGATGGAACATGCAAAGGTGCATGTGTCAAGGTTGCCCTCTGGCCCTCACTGGGGTAGCTCAGATGGGCACAAACACCAGCGTTCTCTGGAGACCAGAGCTGGCCAGTGCAGCCATTTAGCCTCTTCTCTAGGCCCAGCTTTTTCAGTCTCAAGGCCCTGACTCAGCACCTGCATCCTGGGCCAATGGGGGACTGGAGTCCTTGCTCTGTGGGACAAAGATGACCAGTAGCACAATCAGGATGACGAGCAGGCAACCGCCCATCACCAGTCCCAAGTAGATCCGGCAACGGATGTTCTCCCCACGCTTCTTCTGGGCCAGGGTCTTGGTTGTCTTGCTGAAGACTGAGCTCTGTGGACACCCCCAGACACAGGGTGGGAGTTAGTGGTCCCCCCGAAAGCTTCAGAGACAGCTCCTCCCAACACTGTCCCAGCAGGGCCTGGTTTCCTCCCATATCCTCTGTGTCCTGTCCACTCCCCTTCTGGAGCTTCCCTGGGGCCCTCCCAATCTTACTTCTGGTCTCAGACACTGGTGTAGCCCTTGACTTGCAGCCTTACCTGGCTCACCCCCAGTTAATAATCCCACTCCCCAACCTTTAGGAAGGTCCACATCTTCAAAGCAAGGACTTCTACTTCACAAAGTTTACCCATTGCCTATCTAAGCTAGGGGATGCTTCAAGAAACCCAGCAGCCCCACACTGATACTCGTGTCAGCCTCAAGCCCTAACCAGGGCCTAGAGCCCCTGAGCACAGCCTGAGAGTTCTCCCCGAGGGCTCCTCCTAGCCCCTCCCTGCTTCCCCAGGCCTCACACCATGTCCAGGAGTTGGTCTGAACGCTGCTCCAGCTCTGAGAGTTTTCCATCACGCTCCAGAACCTTGTCGAAGTTGTTCAGCATGATTTCCGTCACCTCTTCCGCCTGCCGCTGGCACAACTCCAACTCTTTCCCTGCCTGGGCACGAAGCCCAAGGTCAGGGCTGCATGAAACCCCCACCTGATCCTCATCTGGTCCTGAGACCTAGAGGCCTCCTCGCCCCCCACCCTGCTTGTGTACATGCGGTATATGATTAAGAGAAAGAGCATCTTCCCTGGGTGAGTGTTACTCACCTTTAGTCTCAAGTTTCCTCCCCCTGCCCATCAAGGTAGGTGCAAGGCATTCCCATGCTTCTAGCACCTCAGTTTTCAATCAGAGTGGGACCTTTGCAGAGACCATCCTCCCACAAAGCTCACTTGTTCTGGCATGACTTCTACCCCATGCACACCTGCCCTGTGACTTCCCCCTGGCATAAGGCAGCAGCAAAGGGAACCTAGCTACTTGTCTAGAAGTCAGACAGGAAGGAAATCTAGACAGGAAGGTAATTCTGGAGCAGCCAATGTCATAATTTCTGCCTAACCAAGATCTCCCTTGCCCCCCCCAACACACACACACACACACACACACACACACACACACACCCAAGTTCAGCTCTCCCTCACTCCACATCCTCAGATCTCAGACCCCTGATTGGTCAGACCAGTTCTGCCTCCTGGCCTGACCTGTTCCCCACATCAATGTTCAAAGCCAATACCCTGTCTGCCTGGGAACTGAATCTCAGCCTTCCTGGCCTCAGGTCTCTGGCCTCCAGCCTTCCAGCCAGCCAGGATCTTCACTGGGCTCCAACTCACAGAGATGACACCTTGGATTTCCCAGCATGGGCAGCCTCACCTGACAAAAGAACTGAGCTCATATCAGAGGGCTGGGAAGGGAGGTGTGGTGTCCAAGCTGGGGTTGGGAATGTTGAGAACATAGGGAGGAGGGAGAAAAATGTGGTCACAAGCAAAAAAGGAACTGGGCTTTGGGTGCATGCACCTAAGAGCGATCCAAGGCAGGAGGCCTTTGTAGAGAACTAGATGCGTAGGAGCAGGTCCAGGGACATGTCAGGGAGATGAATACTAGCAGATTAATAAACCACAGAAACTCCTTCCTCCCAGGCGAGTCCCCCACAGCCCATCCCTATTCTCGTCTCCTTCCCACAGAGCATCAGCCAAGCTCCCTTTCCTGCCAGCCCATATTGCCTATTGTTTATAACAGACATTTTGGCACTTGACTAAATTCCACTTCAAACCAGAGAAAGGGAAGGGACCTGGTGGTCACAGAGGGCCACCTCCTACTCAGACAAGAATCCGCCTTCAAGATCCTTGCAGCTGCCTTGCACACAACCTCCAAGCATTCCTACTGTATGAGTCTCAACTGCCCAGTTGGAACTCAGGCTCCCAGAAAAAGGGCAGGGGGAGTTTCCTACCTTTACCTGCCACTGTGGGGCCTGAGAAGTCACTGTGGTGCTGACATTGCAAGGCCTAGGAGGGTGGGTCAATTACATTATAGCCTACGCAAAAGCAACTCTTACATTCAAGAGATGTTATCCCAGTGTGTTTATCTAGCTGAGCAGAACTTTAGAGAAGCAGGCATCTGACACTGAAATAGGTCAATATTTACCCATGAGCTAGAAAAGCAACCTTTCCTGCCTTCTTTAAGAGAAGGCAGGCAAGCCACGACAGGGGGAACAGTAAGTGGGGAAGGAGGAGGAATAAGATAGCAGGGAAGCCACACTCTTCTCTACCTTTTCCTAACTCAACCATCATCACTGATATTGTTAACACTATGCTATTCAATAAGCCTCTATTATTTGGAGTCTCCAAAAAAAAAAAAAAAAAGTTCAAGGTATCCCCACACTTAGAGTCCAAGGCAAAACCTTAGGAATGGACAAAGATTCAAAAATGCAGATCACTGCAAAAGACCAGTGGGACACTGGGTAAGAGTTTGTTCTGCTCCAAACGCTACAGCTGTTGTTATCTCATTCTCCAACATGGGGTGACTTGGGGTCACATTCTCCAGGAGAGCTGGCTGTGCCTCCCGCTGCAATCTACAGGCTCTTTCCCCACTGCAGAGCCAGGCCTGTCCACAGCCAAAATGGTCCAGGCCTAAAAGAACACATTAGCTCCAGGAAACCCAGAGGCCTCAGGCTCAAATCTTGAGCCCTCCTTGCCCCGCTCATTCAGAGGGAAAAGGACACTATATGCACAGGTCTCTGCGGACATGGTGAAAGGGATGATGGGGTGTGCCTGTGGGAATCCGACCTAGGGCGGGGGTCATGCTGCCTCTGTCACAGTGACCTCAGCACAGTGCCTGCCACACAGGGCATGCCTGGTAAATATTTTCTGAATGAACTGCGCCTATTCTTGAGGAGATCTCTATCAACTGGGGGAAAGAGACATACATGATACAATTAGAAAAGAGTAAAGACCGACACTGTGAGATACAATAGCGAGTGCAGGAGCCACCCAAAGAGAGGGTGATTCCTGAGAGCTGCGGCAGACAAGGTAGGATGAGCCCTGGAAGGATGGGATACAACTGGAGTGTTCCCAGTACAGAGAAACGGGCACACACTTGGGACCATGCAGAGCCAAGCCAAGGTTAAAGATGGAGATGCAGGAAAAAGTAGTAAATGTCAAGAAGAGAAAGCTCACTTGGAGGGAGGGATAGAATAAGAGCTAGTGCAGGTTTCTGAGCCAAGGGCAACACTGGAGAGGTGCCTGAGGATCATTTCTCTATTGGCAATAGACCAGCTCGGCTGGAAGTGAGAACACACAGGACAGCAGCGGCCAGAGGGCTGGAAGAGTGCCATGTGCAAGAGTGTGAGGAGATGCCCACCAGGCAAGGTGGGAACAAAGAGTGTAGCAAGGAAGGAGGGGTGACAAAGGCACTTCCTAGCCCTGCTAAGGGCCTTCAGGGCTTGAGGTTTTGAGCCAGGGGGAAGGGAGCAGCAGTGTCATTGGCACACCAAGGGTGACAGTTACGCAGGAAATGTTCTTGACAGACCATTGCCCGCTGTACAGAATATCCCTCCTTTAAAGCTCAAATCTTCACTCAGGTTTTTCCAGGCCAAATACTTTTGAAAACAAAGCTGTCAACTCCTCCCCAACCCCCCATGCTCCTGTCTCCGGTCTCTTGTTTAGAGCCTGAGAAACCTTCTTCCAGCGATCATCGTTGTCCTCATCAGATGGACCTGGGCAGAGACCAGGTGTGTCAGCTCCCTGTGGGGTCAGCACTCACCTGAGCTCAGAAACCAAAAACACTGCAGCCCTGCCTGTCACTCACCAGCTAAGTGGCTGAAGAGTGAGGACATAACATTTCCGCCGACCTTCCACTTCTTCAACTGTAAAGTGTTGACAATAAAATACTATCCACCATAATGTTAGCTAAGGTATGTGACCGCATAAAGTGCTTAGTACAATAACTGACACATAATAAATGCTAAGAAACAATAGCTTCTGATCCCCCTCCCTTTGCAGGCAAGGGCTGTTTCTATCACTAATAAATCCTCCTGAGCTTAAAAAAAAAAATACAATAGCTACTATTATTGTTATAGCCGAAATTTCCCTAAGATTTATTTTTTTGGCAGTCAGATCCCAAGAACTAACAATCCTCGTCAATAAAACCTCTTAGCTATTTTTACAAAATACACAGCCAAGTAAGCTCTTCCTTATTGCAAACTTGTGCACTTCATTGTTTCTAACTTAATACAGAATTTCTCGCAATCTTTGCTAGCCCACCACTAGTAGAGGTTTCACATCTTGACAAAATAACCGGCATCACTCAGGGGCACACACTCTGTGCTAAGCGCTATGCTGCTAGTTGTTTGTTCACTTTATCTCATTTAATCCTCCCAACAATCCATTGAGAACAGTGCTATTATCCAAGTGTTGTAAGAAACTGGGGCTCAGAGGGGCTAAATCACCTGTCTAAGATCACACAGCCAAGGAGTTGAAGATCTGGGAGGTCGAGCTCGTGTAGACAGCAAGCATCATATTCTTAACTCCTGTGCTAAACTGGATGTAGGTAAAGAGAGGTCAAATGCTTGAGCTGGCTAGCTAAAGACTCACCAGATCATTTGATTCTTGCTTTCAATGGAACTTGAGGCTCGTGACTCAAAACACAAACTCTTTAGACAGTGAATGAAAGGACCATCTACAAGAATGAATTCAGCTCATCACTCATGAATTCAACTCATCGCTCATTCAATTTCCATCTTTTCCATCACAGCTTTGTTCCTACTCTAGCCCCTATACCCGTCACCACATCTGGCACAAAGGACAGGCCAAAGAAACAATGGTCGAATGAGTGACCGAAGAGGAGGAGGAGCGAAAGGAAAGGAAGAAGCAGCAGGTAGGGAGTGGGATTGAGAAATAGGAAGGCAATGACTTGGAGACAGAGAATGGAGCAGGAGTGGAAGAAGAAACAAAGGGATGGGACTAGGAGATGGGTGGGGAGAGGGATCATTGCACCCCCTCCAGGCTCTGATCCACTAGTTGCCTCAAATGGACCTGTGAGAGTCCGAGAGTTTTCCAGTGCCCCCCAATAAAGTATTCTGGTCTCAGCCTTTACTTCAGGAGTGTCCTCTCTTTCCCAGGTACTCAGGGCCAGACAGAAGCCCACTCAGCCCTAAGGATCCCATGGCCCTAATGATGGGAAATGGGCTTGGAGTTTGGTCTGTTCTCAGAGCCTCCCTCGTTTCCTGGTGTGGTCTTAGAGCTCAGCGCTACCTTCCTGCCTCACTTCCTCTTCCTGCCTCCAGTTCCCTGGAGACGAAGCCATCCCCGCATCCCGACCCTTAGTCAGGCTTCATCATCACACCTCTGCTTCCTGACAGGCACATCTTCCCGGGAGTCCAAGGGGTGGGGAGGGGGGGACAACTGACACCAGCAGTTCCTGCTTTAGAGATGGCAAGTGAGGTCAAAGACCCCAGCCTGGGGCCTCCCTGGTGGTACAAGGGGTTAAGCACCGCACTATGAAGCAATCCGCAGCCTCTGCAGCACAAGTTCCATCGCCGGGCGGCTAGGGAGCAACCCACATGACGCAGCAGACCTCTCCTGTCTCGCCTACTGCTCCCTTCAGCAGTGTATTTCAGTCTGCCTACCTGTTCTGTTCCCCACTCTGTCTCTGGTGAATCCTCTCACCCCCTGCATCTCTGGACTGTACCCAGCTCTTGTATGCATAAATAAATAAATCTTAAAAAAAAAAGACCCCAGCCTGCAGCAGGAGTGGGGGATGACTCAACTCAGGGTTATGTCGCTAGGAAGGTGTTAAGCAGGAGGCACGCTATAACGTTAGTGGAACTTATGTAGTAAACATCTTTTCTTTCTCTTTCTAAAGGCAGAAGGGAGTTTGCCCTGTAACACCCTGTTGTAAGGCTGGCACCGCCTCTAGCGTCCTATCTGCTCAGGTTTCCAAGTCCCAAGTCGGGCTTGGCTCCTCACAGCTCCAGGAAGGGCTCAAGAGGTCATCACATTACCTACCATTTCTTAGGGCAGGTTCTGAGAGCCATTATATCTCCTTTAACCAGACAAGGACCCAGCAAGGCTGGGATGTGCTGACCCCACTTCACAGAGGCGGAAAAGGAGGCTCACGGAGGTTAAGAGGCTTGCCAGGGTCACAGACCCGGTAAATGATCGCCACCGGAATCTCAGCCCAGGGGCAACTCAGAAGCGGTACCACTTTGCTCCAGGGAAGAGATAAGTCCGAGACCCGTTCACCTTGAGGGGGGCGGCCTCACTGGACGCAGGTAGCACCTTCTTTCCCGCTCTGCACGCTGCTCCTGGCAGCGTCACCTCGCCCGGGACTGGTGCGGTGGGCCCGGCAGGGCGCCCCCGCCGTGGGACACCAGACTCCTGCCTCGCACCCCCAAACCCCCTCTTTGCTCACCGCCCCGCTGCCTCGCGCCGCCCGGGAACCCTCACCATCTCGGCTGCCGTCGCCTCGCCCTCTCCGGCTCCTCTGCCCGCGGGAGCGGCCGCGGTGCCAGAGACCCGGGAGGAAGCGGAGGGGCGGGGCCGGCCCGAGGGCGGGGGGCGCGCCTGCTCCCAGCCGCCACCGAGACCGAGTCAAATCGAAAGCGTCCGACGTCCGCAACCGGTGTCGGTACGACGACTCCTCCCCAGCCGCCGCCGTCGAGCTTCCCCAGCCTCAAGAATTGGGGGCTAAGCCTGCGCAACCTGGCGCCAGGTCTGCACGCTGACCACACCACGGAGGCCCAGTCTATGAACTGGGCACAGTGGAGTGGGCTCTAAAGCAGACTCAGGGGGTACTTTCTGGGGCTGCATACGAGATGGCATAGATGGGGTTTAACTGCGGAGTTATAATTCATTCAACAAGCATCTGTGTGGGTGCAATTGTCTGACACTGGACTAGGCTGAACGGGCCCATCAAAAAATGTTTTGAAACTAAAAAGAGGTGGTAGTTGCAAAACATTGTCAAATGTACTACTGAATCATACACTTAAAAATGGTCACTTGCACAGTGTGTGAATTTCCCCTTAATTATGAAAGAAAATGAGGGAGCCTCCCTGGTGGCACAGGGGTTAAAGTCTCAGCGCTAGCAAGCTATAGCCAGCCACTGCAGAACAAGTTCCATCCCTGGCCAGCCAGGGAGATACCACATGGCACAAGCAGACCTCTCCTGTCTCTCCCACTGCTCCCCTCAGCAGTGTATTTTCAGTAGATGGGCCTGTTCCGCTCCCCACTCTTTCTGGTGAATCCTCTCACTCCCCACCCCTGCACCTCTGGCTTACACCCCAGTTCTAGTATGCATAAATAAATCTTTTTAAAAAAAGAAAGAAAGAAAATGGGCCCCCCTGGAGGAGGTGCCAGCTCTAGCCTATCTGCATTTCCCTCTTCACCAGAAGAGCAACTGCAACCCTGCTCTGCTCTGACCCTGCACCTTCATCAAAGGGTGGGTGGGGCTAGTGTGTCTACTAACCCTTCAGAGCTTTTCTGAGCTGAATTTGCCAGAAGTCACCAGCCATTTGTTCTGCACCTCACCCCTTACCACCCCCAACATCTCAAATATGGCCTATCTTGAGGAAAGGGGTGAGGGTTTCGCTCCCTGTGACTTAGTCCCTGTAAGCACAGACACAACCCCCTCCCTGGCCAGTGTGGGTTCCAAGGAAGAGGTTTCACTGCACTTCCTTGGACTGAGAGTCTGGGATTGGAGCAAGGAGAGAGAGGATGGCCAGGGTCTCTTCTGTGCTTTCCTCCTCCCTCCCCAGATATCAGAGCATGAGTCCAGAACCTGACTTACCAGTACTAGTTCCAAATCCTGTCTCCCAACCAGTCCCTTTCTTGCTCTCTCCCCAAAAATGCATTGTTTCCATTCTAGACTGCATATGGAGGAAATAGGGGCAAAGATGATAAAACCCTTCCCCCAACCAAGGCAGACTGGGCACTGGAAAGTGTGACAATGACAGTGGAACCTGGTGGGGAGGAGGGAGGCCCAGAGACAGAGAGGCCCATTGTACATGGAGGGAAAGGATGGCTACAGGCCCTGTCCTGTGACAGTGACTATGCCAGCCACAGGACAAGGGGGAGAGATGCTTGCCCCCTCAGGAGAGCTGAGACCCAGAAGCACCGCTAAGTCCCAGAAGGGCAGGGGCAGACAAGAGACAAATAGAACTTGTGGAACCACAAGAGAAGGAAAAGCAGTCCAATTCCTCCTAACACCACCTCACCCCCACTCTAGACTACAATGGGGCCACAGAAAAGATATAGAGATGATGGAAGAAGCAGGAGTTCCTTAACCAGATTCCTTTATACTCCAACCAGGTCAGCTTCATGTCTTGCCTAGCAGGACCAGCAGAAGAGTAATGCAGGACTGTGGCAAGACCCAAGGGTGGCACTCAGGAGTCTTGCCTATCTCCCTGAAATGATGCATGTCAAGATTCTGAGAAAATTCTTGTTCTTGAGACCTGTGACTGTGAATGGAACAAGAGGAGGCATAAAGAAATACAGGGAGGCTCCATGTTTCTTCTCCAAACCCAGGCTCTCCACCCCTCTCAAAACATGGGCATCAAATGGGACAGCCCAGTCAGAAGGTATCCTCAGGGAGCAAAGAACTGGAAGGGCCAAAGGCAAAACGGAGAGTGAGAAAGCACCTCACATGTGTAGGCAGACTAAAAGATCTTTATTGCCCACCAGCCTCCAGCAGCTCCCCAGGCACAGGCTGGGCCCTCTGGGTCTCCACCAACCCCAGGACCCGGGAAACATTGCCATAGTCCGGCTCTCTCCTGGGGACCAAAGTGCTGTCTGGGGCAGGCAATGTGACAGGGAGGGTCTCAGAGTGAGGGGCAAGAGGATCAAGCAGTGTTCCCCATGGAGAAGGACAGGACAGAGCCCTCTGGACACCCACGTGGAGGTGCCCCCAGGCTGGTGGGGGGGTCAGGGGGAAATCCCTAAGTTACTCAGATGGTGCCAGTGGCAAAAAGAATGATGAACAGAACGACGATAAAGACGATGACGCAGATGAGCACGATCATCTTCACATTCCTCCACCAGAACTTGCGCGCCACCTTCTGCGACGTGGTCTTGAAGTGCTCAGACTGCCGGGACAAGACAGAGTGATCCAGGGACCCCGCTGAGACAACAGCACAACAAGCCCACATGCCATAGCTTTCAGCAGTTAAAATGCTTTGCCCTCCTACCTTCACCAATGTGCCTTCAGAACAATTTTATGGACCAAGTTCAAACTTAGGAATTCCCTGGTTCCGGGGAGATCTCCACCTGCATGTGGGAGGACTCTCAGGCCTCTGCCTGCCCTCTACACTTCGTCCCCAGGCACTGTTGCATACCATAGGGGATCTCCTACACAGCTCACCCCCAGGGCTGTGACACCAGCAGCACAACCTGCCCTTGAAAGGGTAGCACTGGGGCCAAGGGGTGCAGGCTCCAGGTGGCCATGTCTCCCTGACTCCGCATTCCTTGTGGTCCCCATGGGGACTCCTGAGACTGGAGGAGGACCCAGGTAGTATGGGGGTTGGAGGTAAAGAAAACTGTTCTTCTTTTTGCAACTCAAGTTGTAAGAATTAAGTGTCCCTCTGTTAGGGGGAAAAGGATGTCTTAATAAGTCCCTTTTAAGGGCGCGGGTGAGGACCCACAGCCAGGAACCCATTCAATATTGGGGCTGCTCTATAACACCTGGACCATGCCCCCAGATTAGGCTGTGGATAAAAAATACTAGGTGTCAGGGAGACAAAGGAGCTATACCCATGATACCACACAGGACTTAGCCACAGCCAGTCTCTCTCCACTGATGTGGAGCCTGACACTTAGGCTTTGTTGATCTTAATAGTTGCTACCTCCCCGAGCAGCTGACTCAGTTCCTGGCTAGAGAGAGAGAATGGGTTCTGGTAAGAGGTATGGGAGATATTATTCTAGCCTTTAGCTAGCAGAGGACCCTAGGATCCAAGAAGTTCACTGCTCTTCTCAGCTTCCTTTTACAGCCAACTCAGCAAGTCTCTAGCAGTTTTCCATCCCCTGCCTAATAATTCCTGGAGAAGATTCTTGGAGAATTTTCCCAGAGCCCGCATTTTTTTGCCCCAGGGGAGGTCAGATCCAAATGATTAAGGGCAGCCTTCAGAGGGAAAAAATCAGTTTCATGGTAGAGAAACTCAAGAACGCCTGGAGTGAATGAGCTATCTATCTGTCTCGAAAAATGCTTCCATGGGTCAGCTCCCAACCCCTAACCCAATCCCTGGGCTCCAGCTCCAATCAGTAGAGTAGAGCAGCATCAGCAGTGGGGACTCTGCTCACACCAATTCCCAAAATGGGTGAAAAGACAAAGAAATGGCAGTTGACCTCCCTCCTGTTCATTTTGTCCCCCCCACCACTGCCCTCCAAACCCTGAACAACCTTCCCTCCTTCTCTCCCTCTAGCTCCCAGTTTCCCCATCTCACTGTGGCCTCCAGGTCCTCTGTCTTGTTGCGGAGATGATCCAAGTTTTCTCCTCTGGCCAGGATCCGTTCCACATTCTGGGTCATAATATTCTTGACTCCCTCCACCTCGTTCTGCAGGTCCCGCACACGGTCATTTCCTCCACCTCCACTGGCCTCCTCCTGGGCAGCAATGGGGGGGGGGGGTTAATCAGGCAAGTGGTGGAGGAACCCAAACACTCAGCCTCATAGCCCCGGAGAAGGGGAAGGCCCAATGTGAACTTTAACTTTTGTAATGCTTGAATGTTTACAAGAGAATGTTTTCATGTATTACTCATGTAATCAAAAATAAATGCATTGTTAAGCCTCAGAAGGTGAGAGCTGACACTAGACAGACTAGATCAAACTCCTTTTCAGCTTCTCAGGGCCCCTGATGAGGAAAAGAAGTCCCTCTCTAAACCCTCCCCTCACCCCCTTGCTTCTCAGAGAGGGTGGGAGAAGACAGCCCAGCTGGCACTTCACTACACAGAACTCCACCACTGTATTTACTAGCTCCAAGAGCCAGCCCCGCTTGCCTGATCCCACAAGGTCCTCATTAAAAGTGTCTGTGCTGGTCAGCAGAACACGCTCACCTCTGGCCCAGAGCAGCGATGTTGCTGTGATCCAACAGCAATTAGGCTCCAAAACCCCCACCGGGTCCCAGGGGAGAGAACCAACTCACTGGGCCACAAACTTCTGCTTTCCCCCCATGTACAGGCACCAAGCCACAGCCTGCTTGTGCAGATATTAAATAAAAACAGCAGCCTGGACGTTGGGGGAAGTGGAGGACAAGTCCTCCCAGGCTGATGCCTCGTCCCCAGGCCTCTAGATAAAGTTTTTGAATAGGGAGGGAAAACATTATCAAGCTCCTCCCCTCCTGACCCACTGGGCCTCCGAAAACAGGCCAGGGCTGTGGGTGAAGACTGTGTTATGAGAGAGAACTAACTTGTGGTACTTGTACAAACCCTTAGTTCTCTTCCTCATGTTAATGGAGAGCAATGGATTCCTCCAACTCGGTGGAGAGGCAAATCCTCTTGGCTTCTGTGGGGATCAAAAGCCGAGCACAGGGGGAAGAGTCCCTGCCTCGGCCTAGAATCTGCGCTGGGAACAGCAGAGGCGCTGACCAAGAATGTCACAGCACCGCCCGGCGGGAGGAGGAGGAGGTGATGGGCGGCTGGGCAGTTCTTCGCCAGGAATTCGGATCCCCTACCTCTACGGAAGTCTAGCTCTGGGACAGCACAGAGGTCAGCGGACGGGCACGGACAGACCGAGGGAGGGAGGCAGGAACACCCGCTCCGGACAGCTCACTGCTATTTGCAGCCAAGTTGTCAAAAAGAGCCCGCAGTAAGAGCCGTCCCCTCTCCCCCGCGCCGTCTAACTTTACTGTTTGACATTTCCTTTCCTGAAACCCAGCCCTCAGCCCCCGCGGGCCCCTCGTTAAAGCGGCCCCTTCCCAGTTCCCAGTTCGCTCACCATGTCTCCGAGCGGCCGGGACCTGTCAGCAGCCGAACTGGGCCAGTCTGTTTCCTCCCAGGCGGCCCTCGGCTCACTTCCTGCTTGCTCCAAGTTTCAGCCCGCCCTCCGCCCACCTCGCATCCCGAGCCGGCCACACCTCACGCAGGTTCTCTCAGGTAGGCTGGCACCCGCCAGGGCCCTCCAGCCTCCTCCCAGAGGAGAGTTCCGACTTAAAGCCACAGGCTGCCGGGCGCCAAGAGTCTACTAAAGCGTCTGCAAGAGAAGTGTGATCCGGCATTGAGACTGGCCCTCTGCTATGCTAAGCACAGCCGTCTTGTGCTCTTTACCTTCTGAATATCTGTCTCCAATTCCTAGACAGTATAATCCGCCCTAAGCACCCTGCAGACCTAGTTCACATAGAAACAGGACACAGACATGAATTTTTCTTGCTGGACAGCACTTGCTTAGAGGTTGGTGGCCGGCAGAAAGCACTAAAGCCCTCAGTGTCTGGAACGCTATAGTCTTGGACACTGTTGTCAGAAAACTCTGGGTTACTAGCCCTGTGATCCTGAGTGAACCTCTTCATCTCTTTGGGTTTTACAAGTGCTAATGCTGACCTGGAAGGGTGGGGGTGAAGAATAAAAGGACAGCACAGTGCTTGGAGCCAAGTACCATCCCCTGTGTGAATCAGGAAACGATGCCTCACCAGCCCCTCCTTTCCTTCCAGAGTTCACCAACCTGGCATTTCCCTTCAGGGGCCACCCTGGACTGGTGAACTCAAAGAGAAATGTGGTCAGAAGACTGCCCTTTGGGTCAAAGAGGGGGTCCAGGGCAAAGGATTTTTCCACCAACCTGGCTGCAAGCCAGAGAAAATTCACTCTTCCCGGATAGTGTTTATCAAGACAGAAGAACAATAACAGGGACATGCAGAAGGGAACAAACATTCCTGTCTCATCCCAAAGTAATAGTTTCAAGGTGAAAATGTCAACTTGTTTAACAAATACTTTTTTAAAAGCTCTAATAAATTTTGGACCGCCATAGTATTTTGGGCCACTTTATTCTAATTTTTAATGAAATATTATCCCCTATGTATGCCACTGCCAGCCTTGAATATACATTGATGTCCAAGAAGAAGTTAACCTTTGGCCTAGATCTGGGGATCATGAGCAGGGTGATCCTAAATGCTGACACTTGGGCCTGAGGCCTGTTCGCCTTTATCTGATCATGTGGAATGTGGCCTTACTTGCGCAAACATTACAGTGTTTGCAATGTTACCTATCGTTAGAAGACCACTGTGATAACACGCTCCAAGTGGAGACATGGAGCAAGGAAAGCACCAGACAATATACTAGTGCAGAAATGGATCTATGGGCAAGGTAGAAGAGGAACAGAGTCATTGATTCCTTTGTCATCAAGGGAGGCTTGATCCCAGTGAAAATGTAGCTTCAGTAACTTTGTGAAGAGAAGATGCATGATGGTAGGCATTGCTGCCAAAGAAGTGATCATGGTGTGAAGAGTGTTCTCAGTCTCTGGGGGATCAAAGACTTGAGGGATCAACTCTCCTATTCCTTGGTTGTGTAGTCTTGGGCAAGTAACTTTCCTCTGGGAGTTTTAGATTCCTTATCTGCAAAATAGGAATAAGAATGAAAATTGCGGGGCCTCCCTGGTGGCACAAGGGGTTAAGCGTCAGCACTATGAAGCAATCCACAGCTACTGCAGCATGATTTCGATCCCTGGCCAAGAAGGTGACCCACATGGCCCAGCAGACCTCTCCTGTCTGGCCTGCTGCTCCTCTCAGCAGTGTATTTCAGTCAGTCTGCCTGTTCTGCTTCCCACTCTGTCTCTGGTGAATCCTTTCTCTCACACAACCCCCGCCCCTTGTCTGCACCCCTAGCCTGCACCCCAGCTTTTGTATGCATAAATAAATAAATCTTTTTTAAAAAAAAGAAAATTCCTTTGCAGGACTATATTAGAATTAATTGACCTAGTTATATGTGTCTATATTTCTACTGAAGCACTATAAAAATGATAAAGGAGGGCCTCACTGGTGGTGCAGCGGGTTGAACACAGCACTGTGAAGCTGTAAGCAGCCTCTGCAGCGCTGATTCGATTCCCCACCAGCCAGGGAGATACCCACATGGTGTGGCAGACCTCCCCTGTCTCGCCCACTGCTCCCCTCAACAGTGCCTTCGGTCCGTCTGCCTGTTATGTTCCCCGCTCTGTCTCTGGTGAATCCTCTCACCCTCCAGTGACTCTGGCCTATAACCCAGCTCTTGTATAAAAATAAAATAAATCTTTAAAAAAAAATGATAGGGCCTCCCTGGTGGCGCAAGGTGTTGAATCTTAAAAAAAAATGATAAAGGAGTCAGAATGAGAAAATAAAGGAGGAGGAATATTACAGACTGCAAAGCAAACAGGAAACAGGCAAACTTATTATCCCAGTCTTCTAATTTATGGCCCAAGAGGGCAGTGTATACCTGTACCCCTCAGGGAGAAGGTTAGAGAACAATGAAATTGCTTATTCAGGACGCCCAATTGGAATTGCTCCCTGAAAGATCTTAAAGCTCTTGGCTATTGCAAGGTCCCTTTTGTCTCCAAACCCCATTACTGGTTTTGCCTCCAGAGGGCACTTGTGACAATGTGGAGACATTTTGTGGTCAAACTGGGGTAGGGACATTGCTACTGGCATCTAGTGGTAGAGGCCAAGTATGCTAAATTTCGTACAATGCAAAGGAAAGCACCTCATACACACACCTCAAAGAATTATTCAGACCAAAATGTCAAAAGAACCCAGGTTGAGAAACCCTGCTTACCTAGGGAAGTGCAATGTTGTTGCTGAACATGGACTCACTGCTGCATGCTAAAGAAACCAACAACCATGGCACCAACTCTTATCTTTTTAAAGATTTATTTTTATTAATTTATGCATATAAGAACTGGAGTGTAACTGAGAGGTGCAGGGTGGGTGGGGGGGTGAGAAGATTCACCAGAGACAGAGTGGGGAGCAGATCAGGCAGATTTACTGAAATACACTGCTGAGGGGAGCAACGGGCAAGACAGGTGAGGTCTGCCGGGACATGTGGGTCAGCTCCCTGGCCTGGGATCGAACTGGCTTTTGAGAAAACAAATAGTTAAATGTAAAGTTAGCTGGCAGGAGACTGGCAAGGCTCTTAAATCAGTTTCCTGGAGGATGGGGTTTGGGGCAGTATTTATGGGGTTGAGGAACAAAGAAAGTATTAAAAAAATGCAAGTTGTTAGAGTCTGATTAGTTACTTACTGCTGAAACATGGTGTAACTCAAATTTAGGTCCAGAACTGCCACAAAACCAAGCACCCCTTGCTTCTGACCATCCGTTTAACCACGAGCCAGGCATCTTAGTTCCTGTTTCCTATGACTTTTTTTTTTTTTTTTGTTCTGGGCACTAAGAGGTCACCTCAAGGACAGCAAACACTCTTCTGGGCCTGTGCTCTGAAATACAACCTGTCCACATATTTTTTAAAAAAATCTGTCTTTTCCTCATTTAAAATGGGTATGGTATTTTCCCCCCATGGCCTTCCCTGCTGTTCTTGCAGGCTAAACAGAAATAGGAAAGGACTACCATGGCTTCAATGCCTTTATGGTTTTAACAACCATTTCCAGACAATCTCCAAATCTGTATCTCCAGCCCTGACCTCTCTCTCAATTACCATTATTATCTCTCCAGTGCCCTGGAGAGTCCACAGGCACCTCCAACAGCTAAAACCAAACCTTTTATTTTTCCCCATGTTCTTCCTCCTGGGTAGTACTCCCATCGTACTAGTCACACAAGCTAGGAACTCCAAAGCCATCCTACACACACAGTGCAAAATAACCTTAATTTTATTTCAGATATGTTTCTCATATCCACTCCCTTCTTACCATACCAGCTCTTGTTTCCTCAGTAACGCTGGCATTATTTTTCCTCCAGACACTTCCAGCCATCTCCAAACTGACCTTTTCCTATCCATTCCTCATGGGGCCGCTTGTTATCTATCCAAAATACAGATTTGGGGCCTCCGTGGTGGTGCAAGGGGTGAAGTCTCCGCACTATGAACCTATCACCAGCCACTGCAGCAAGAGTTCGATCCCTGGCCAGGGAGCTATCCCACATGGCTCAGCAGACCTCTCCTGTCTCACCTGCTGCTCCCCTCAGCAGTGTATTTCAGTTAATCCACCTATTCTGCTCCCCACTCTGTCTCTGGTGAATACTCTTACGTTTACCCCCACCCTCGGCCCTGCACCTCTGGCCTACACCCCAGTTCTTATATGCATAAATAAAATCTTTTTTTAAAAAAATAAAAGATTTAAAAAAACAACAAAATTAAAACACAGATTTGCCTACGCTCTACCCTGCCCTCAGGATAAAGCCCAAATTCCTTAGGTTGACATTCCAATCTCAACCTGCTTTTTGAAACTTACCTCCCATAGACTCAGCCCGCAGCTCCTCAATCACACCAAATCACATGCCCTTCCACGGACACACCACCCCTTTTATATCTTTGTTCAAGTAAAACTTTCTCTTGATAAGTGAATATCCCATTTCACTTATCACTACTTATGGAAACACTATTCATATTTAAGACACTGTTTCCATGAAGCCCTCAGGATTTCCCCACTGAAGTTAACTTCTTCCTCTTCTGATCTCCACTATGTTTTCTCTTTTACAGAAACTATTGGAAAAAAGTTAAAATCATGGCATGGAGAGTTTCTGAATTACGAAATTCTTGTTTTTTTAAGATTCATTTTAAGATCATTTTTATTTATTTATGCATATAAGAACTGGGGTGGAGGCCAGAGATACAGGGGTGAGAGGACTCACCAGAGATAGTGGTGAGCTGAACAAGCCGATCTACCAAAATACACTGCTAAGGGGAGCAGGCAGACAGGAGAGGTCTGCTAAGCCATATGTGGGTTAGCTCTCTGGCGGGGGATCAAATTCAGCCCGCAGAGGTGATAGCATGAGGTGATAACATGAGGTGATAGTGTGATGGCTCTGAGACTTAACCCCTATGCCACCAGGGAGGCCTCTATTAGCTAATGTTCTATTATCCAGAATCAGTTCAGTCAAGATTATTAAGAACTTTTTGATTTCCCTCTCTCCACCAACACTGTACTCATCTGTCAAAGGCCAACTCAATAAAAAAACTTATCTGATTTCTCCAGTCTTATTTCTTCCTCAGTAATCCCACAACACTTTTTATCAGTTGCTCTTATTTACTTATCTCCCTGCCCCACAATTTGCTTTATTATATCCCCTTGTCCCTTCCCCTCAGCTGCTTAACCTCAGGGCCCTCACTATATTTATTGATGTCCGACAGTCTTGGAAAGTATTTTATGTTCTCAAATTGTCTGCTGTGTGAAAGTTGAGTATTTGTTTTTATCATTCTGACTCACTTTACAACACACAATTCTCTCAAATTCCCTATTTTGTTGAAAATTGCTACAATTATCCAATCTCATGGCTGCATGGTATTCCATCGTGGGCTATATCACATCTTCTTGATCTAGTCATCTATCCTGGACATTTAGGTAGCTTCCATATCCTAGCTATTGTCAACAATGCTGCTGTGGACATTGTGGAATAGATGTTTTGTTTTTTAAGATTTATTTATCTATGCATACAAGAGCTGGGGTATAGGCCAGAGGTGATGGGTGGGGAGTGAGAGGATTCACCAGAGACAGAGTGGAGAGAACACAGGGGTTTACTGAAATACACTGCTGAGGGGAGCAGCAGGGGTGAGAGAAGAGAGCTCTGCTGCACCACATGTGGGTTAGCTCCCTGGGGAGGGGATCAGGGATCCAACTCAGGCTTCAGCAGTGAGTAATAGTGCTGAGACTTAGCCCCTAGGCCACCCAGGAGGCCCCCAATAGCTTTAAAAAGAGGCCTTTTTAAAGGCCCCTTAAAAAATTACCACTTGTAAACAAAACAAAAAAAAATTACCACTTGTAAGTTTAGGTGTGATATCAAAGAATAATATTCACAATTACCTTAAAAGGCTATTAAAATACTTTTCCCTTTCCAAATTTTCCTTAGTTTGGCAATAGATGGGATGCAGAAGCAGTTTTGAGGACACTGCTGTCTTCAATTAAGTCAGACATTAAAGATTGCATGTAAAATCACAATACTTGGTCAATTTTGGGGTATAATTTTTACTTTTTTCATAAGAATGTTGTATAAACATACTGAATTTATTTTTTCTTTTTAGTGAATCAACACATATTTTAAACATTTCTCAGTGTATATTTCCAATACCCTAAATAGGGGTAAATATCACCCACGTAGACAAAAGCTCTTTAGGGCTCTCAATAATCTCTAGCACTATAAACAGTCCTGAAATAAACAGGGAAAAAAATGTGACAGGGCCTCCCTGGTGGCGCAAGGGGTTAAGCACCACACTATGAAGCAATCCGCAGCCTCTGCAGCATGCGTTTGATCCCAGGCCGGCCAGGGAGCAACCTACATGGCGCAGCAGACCTACCCTGTCTCGCCTGCTGCTCCCCTCAGCAGTGTATATTTCAGTCAGTCTGCCTGTTCTGCTCCCCAATCTGTCTCTGGTGAATCCTCTCACCCCCCCGCATCTCTGGCCTGTACCCCAGCTCTTGTATGTATAAGCAAATAAATCTTTAAAAAAAAAAAAAAAGTGGCCACCTCTGCTCTGGGATGCTTTCCTCTTACCCTGCTGGCCAATTCCAGTGCAGGGAATTCGATATTAGAGTTCTGCTCAAGACTCACCTTTCTAAGAATCTTCCCTGACGGACCCCACTCTACTCGCTGCCCCTATTCTGCATCCCCTCTGCCGTTATGTAGCTCCTGTTGCTTTCACACTTCAGGTTCTTGACAGCCCTGGGAGAAAACCCCGTACATCCTGTCTCGGCCGTGGCGGCCATTCCACGCGTGTTCAGCTGGGCAAGCCGGCCCCCTGGGGAAGACTCTGACCTGTGCGCCCGCATCGGTGCATCACGGGGCACCGCGGGGTGACGCTGCTACCAGGAGAGGTCTAATGGGGGCGGGGACGGCCTCGGGGAAGCTAAGGGACGCCTTCCGAGGACCGACGGCTTCGGGGAAGCCGAGGTGGTGCAGGGAAGAGAGGCGGAGCCGCGGAGCATCCTCACTGCACCCCAGGTCACCGCGTCAGGCGAGCCCGGCCGCGCTCCGCCCCCTGTCGCCAAGCGGGGAGCTCGGCGCCGCCTTCACGACGCTCGCCGCCGCGCTTTCCGGCAGGTGCTGACGTGCGGGGGCGGGGCGCCGCGGCCGGGACGCTGCTGCCGTGGCGGAGCTCTCTGGGCAGGGCCATGGCCGAGTCGGCCCGCTCCGCGCGCGTGTCGCGGGGTTCAGGTAGATTCTTCGCCAAGCGGGGAGCCCGGCGCTGGTCTCGGGGAGAAGGGGGCTGGAGGAGCGCCCTCCGGGATCGGGGGAGGAGGTCTCGGGTAGAGATTGCAGCCAGCAGGTTCAGGAGGGTGGTGACTTTCGGGGACGCTTTGTGGTTAGGGGGCTGTTCTCTTTAGGACTAGTCCTGGAGCACTGGGGGATCCTGGAGAAGGGCTTTGCTGCCGGGTATTTCCGGCAGTCACAAATCAAAAGAGCCCAGGGTGGCAGAAATCCTGAAGCTTTTGGGGCTTTGATTTCTGCGGTTTGGAGAGGAACCTGTTTTCAAGCGTCCCCACCCCGCCTTGTGCATGCACACACGTTCTCCGTTTATTGGTTGCAGATAAAATACACAAAGACAAGGCTGGACAGACCTCAAGACCCAGGCAAGGCAGCCAAATGGGGAAACTCTTGGGATTTGAGTGGACAGATTTGTCCAGTTGGGGGAAGCTAGTGACCTTGCTGAATCGACCCACAGATCCTGCAAGCCTGGCTGTCTTCCGTTTTCTCTTTGGTAAGTTCAGTTTCTGGAAGTGCCAGTGTGATTGGATGTGAGAGAATAATAGTCTCATGTCCATTCATTCTTTGGTGACTTACTGGATTTACCTCCCTTTTCTTCAGAGTTGAAGGTAATTGATATCATGAAAGAGGTCTTTGTGTTTAGGATCAAACCCAGCTTTGTCTCCTATTAGGGTTTGGACACCGGAAATGATTTGATTTGGGGCTATAGGAATATAGAGGCAGAAGAACAGGAACCCATTTTGTTTTGGGCATGAAGGTGCCCAGTAACTATGATAAGGAGGACTAGATTTCAGAGAAACAGTTGGAGTGAAAGGGCACACATGTTGGCAGTGACCCTTTTTTTTTTTTTTTAAGATTTATTTATTTATGCATACAAGAATTGGAATACAGCGGGCGAGTCAGGAGAGGTCTGCTGCACCATGTGGGTCAGCTCCCTGACCAGAGGATTGAACTCATGCTGCAGTGGCTGGTAGTAGCTTCATAGTGCTGACACTTAACCCCTTGCGCCACCAGGGAGACCCCTGGCGGTGACCTCTTAAGTCATAGATCACAGTGTCTGTGCTTGGAATGGGTGCTTGGAATGGGTGACAAATGTGTTGAGATATAAAATCCCCAGTGGTTTTCAACTGGGGGCAGTTTTTTTCCCTGGGGAATATTTGGCAGTGTCTGGAGACATTTTTATTAGTCACAACTGGGAAATAGGTGGCCACTGGCATCTTTGTAGGAGGCAGGGATGGTGCTATATGACATATAATGCACAGGAGAACCCCTCCCAGCAAATAATTAACCAGCCCAAGACGTGAATACTCTGAAGTTGAAATACTTTGACTTAACTAGAGCTGACTTCCTGAGCCTGAGGAGCTCCTTCTATTTACCCTACTGTGTTGGCCAAATGCTGCTGTTTTCTGGGTGTGCCAGGAAATGAGAAAGGTAGAGCAGCATGACTCTAGAGCACTTTCTGTAGTCCAGCAGAACTGACCTTGGTAGATAATTGTCACTCCCCTAAACACTTTTGTAGTGTTTTATATACTTTTCTCCTTTCTCTCCTCACTCTGTGAAGTTTTATGAACCCCCTTTCGCACATGGAGAATTGATTCAGTGAGGTACAGTGAATGGCTGATGTCACACAACTGGCATGATGCCTCCTCGCACAGCGTAGGTCCTCAGGAGTTATTGTTGAATAAATGAATAAGTTACAGAGCCAGGGTTAGGAAAAAAGTGTGGCCCTGGAGCTGGATGCACTGGATTGTATACTGAGTATTCCTTTACTCGGGTCTGATTGTCCCCTTCCCCTCTGCCTTGTCAGGGCTGCTGATGGTGCTGGACATTCCCCAGGAGCGGGGGCTCAACTCCCTGGACCGAAGATACCTGGATGGGCTGGATGTGTGCCGCTTCCCCTTGCTGGATGCCCTGCAGCCTCTGCCACTTGACTGGATGTATCTTGTCTACACCATCATGTTTCTGGGTGAGGGAAACTACATAAAACTCCTGGGTCTTACCTACAATACTGAAATACACAGCATGCTAGTGAATGGCCAAGATCTTACTCCTTATTTCATTTTCTACTGTGACTCATTTTATCCTGCTCACCCATATGCCCTCTGAGCTGTGACTCCATAACTCTTTTTAAAATATTAAAATAGCATTTAATTTTCATTTAGTTTTACCTTACTGTGAAAGGCATGATGACTTTTTTTAATCCCACCCATAGCCTATCCCAGGGGAGCTGGGCCTGTGGTGCCCCATTGACCTCTTAATCCTCTCCCCACAAATCCCAGGGGCACTGGGCATGATGCTGGGCCTGTGCTACCGGATAAGCTGTGTGTTTTTCCTGCTGCCATACTGGTATGTGTTTCTCCTGGACAAGACATCATGGAACAACCACTCCTATCTGTATGGTTTGTTGGCCTTTCAGCTGATGTTCGTGGATGCAAATCGCTATTGGTATGAGCCTTAGGGAAAAGAGGCGGGGAGGGCTTGGCTGGATCAGGATAATTAGTAGAGACAGGGGCCCATTGACTTTCTAGAATTTGCCCCAGCAAGCATATTTTCAACCATACTTTGCAAAGTGCAAGGTCATGCTTTGATTTAGATGGATTTGGGAGGGGGGAGCTTCGGCTAGGTTGCAGTACTTGGGATGACAAAAAAGCAGAAATGGCTCCATTCCCACCCCTTCACTCTTTCCATATCTCCCCAGGTGCCTTGATCTACCTACTTCCTGTAATCCTCTTAGAAGAAGAGAAGACTAAAGCCAGATATAGCTGGTTTCAGATACTTCAAGGGTGGTCATGTGGAAGAGGGAGCAGACTCCCTGTATTAGCTCAGAGGGGCAGAGTTAGAACCAAGAATAGAAGTTGCTGTGAGTCAGTCATGTCAAAAGGAGAGGCCTACCAGAGCTGAGCCCTCCCCCACATCTCCCAGGAGGAGGTAACCCTCCCCCACATCTGGCTTAGATGACCATCTTTCAGGGGAAGTAGAGAGAATGTGGATACCGAGTGGCAGGATAGATGTCCTTTAAGGATACTTTCTGTTTAGTGAAAGGTCAATATGAATGTAGTAAGTTGGGTGTAGGGAAAACACTCTCAAACATTGAATTTCATAGTGATTTATCAATCATTAATCAAATTTTACTTGTTAATACACACAGATAGCTCTTTGTAAATCTTTGAACTCATTCAGAATGGCCGGCTCTGATGATGCAGAACTGAAAGGCAATGCTGACAGAATATCCCTGAAAAGTTTCATTTTTACCAATTTTTACACAATTTGAAAAAAATACCAGTTACTTACTAAAGACTTTCCACATGCCAGGTACTCTACAAACGTTTCTAATGTTTCCTCATTATAGCCCCATAAGGTCTATAGTGTTGTTTCCATTTTAAAGGTAAAGGAACTAAGGCTTTAATAAGGAAAGGATCTGTCTAAGGTCACACTGCAGGTAATAGGCACAAGTGACAATCCAGGTCTCTTAACTGCAGACTCCAGGGCTCTTGACCACAAATGTAAGCTGCCCCCTTCCCAACTTCTCTGCTCAGTCATTGTCTTCTTAAAACCCTGATTTGCTTTTGCCTTCCAGAGTACATCTAGACATAGTTACCTACATTTAACAGTTTTCTCCCAAAGTAAGCTTCAACATCTAAACTCTAGTGCTAGATCCTGGTATCTGGGTCATGAAATATCACTTTGTCCTGGATACTGACTGGAAAAAAGAAGCCTCTATATATATTTACATATACCTTTAGCTTTACAAACACTCCCTTGAACTCATTCATTTTAGTTGTTTTCTAGTATTACAGTTTTTTCCCTGACAAACTAACTTGCTAACTAACTAATGAAAACATGAAACTTTTGTTGTTACTCACTAGTAGTATTTCTGTTTTGACTTAAAATAATCACTGTTAGAATTGGTTCATAGACTTTTTTTTTTAAAGATTTATTTTATTTATGCAGGTAAGAGCTGGGGTGTAGTACAGAGGTGTGTGTGTGTGGGGGGGGGCGGGGTGTGTGTGTGAGAGGATTCACCAGAGACGGAGTAGTGGAAAGAACAGGCAGATTGACTGAAATACACTGCTGAGTGGAGCAGCGGGCGAGACAGGAGAGGTCTGCTGAGCCATGTGGGTCAGCTCCCTGGCTGGGAATTGAACTCATGCTGCAGTGGCTGGTGATAACTTCATAGTGCTGAGATTTAACCCCTTGCGCCACCAGGGAGGCGCAGTTCATAGATTTCTAACGGGCCTCCAGATAGCACAGAGGGTCAGAGAGAATGTGGATGATAACCTGGGATAGATTAACACATTTGAAAAGAAAGGTAGAAATATGCCTGGACTGAGAGGCCTTCTTCAGTTCTTACCTCCCTTGGTGTAGGTCTGTGGATGGCCTGCTGAGTGCCCGTAAGCAGAATGCCCACGTGCCCCTCTGGAACTATGCTGTGCTGCGTGGCCAGGTATGGGGTTTTAGGGTAGAGGGAGGTGTCTGACAGCCACTGTCAGCTCGGCCTTCCCACTACCATAGTACACTCTCCTGTCTCTTGTTTCCTTTTTGCTGGAAAGCTCAGCTGACTTTTCTATTGTTTCCAATTTTCTAAATGCTGGGTTCTCTCACCTTGTCATGGGAAGAATAGATTAGGTTATTACCTATTTGATTAGAAACCTCATGAGAGAAAGAATAACATCTGTGCTTCATGACTTCTCCTGGGTGCCTAATACTATGCCTGGCATTGGTATAAAGTCAATAAATACTTGTTGCATGAGTGAATTATCTGGGATGAGTGAATAGAAGAATGCGTGTATTCTTACTTGGGCCCTGAACTGAGATCAGAACTTGCTTTATTTTTGACTATAGAAAACAAAGTTCTTTTTTTGTTTGAATATTCATTTTGCTTCCTGTGTTTGCAGATCTTCATTGTATACTTCATTGCTGGGGTGAAAAAGCTGGATGCAGACTGGGTTGAAGGCTATTCCATGGAATACCTGTCCCGGCACTGGCTCTTCAATCCCTTCAAGTGAGGGACGGGTACTGAGTGGCTGACTTGTCTCGCGCAGGGCTCAGTAATGGCTGCTGAACTTGCCACATGCTCTCCTCTGTCCACTGATCTCCCAGAAGGCAGAGTTGATGATCAAAAGAGCTAGACCGAGCTGCCCCTTGGAGACAGATGGTATGGGCCAGAAAGAAGGGAAAAGAAAACAAAAGGAAAGAGCCAAGGCTAGGTGACCTGGTGTCACCAGCAGTTACTTTGGGCCGTGCCTATGCCTTTGGGTTGCCACCGCAGCCTCTTGCCAGGATTCCTCATTGAGAGGTCAGGATAGTCAGTGTTCCTACTCTGAGAAAACCCTTGTTACCAGCATTTTACAAAACAAAGGTTTGCTGCTCTGATTTCTCTCTTCCTTCCATTTCTTCTTTCCTATTGTTTTACAGTGTTCTTTTACCTCTTCTCTGTTATTTTCCAGTTCCTGAAGTTTGGCTTCATTATTATGTTAGTTAAGCATTCACCTTTTAAAATTTCTTCTCATTTATAACCTCCATGAGGGTCATGCCCCACCCCCCATACCCCCAGCAGACACCTCATCGTATTTTGCCCTAGGAGATCTGCCCTTGTTATTACACAGTGTGTAGAAAAAAATTGGATACCTAAAGTGTGCGGACACCTGAGGAGGTAGAAAAACTCCCATAGGCTGCCTTTATCAGAGCTCTTCTACCCACCTGCTGGGCCGAGCCTTTGGGAAGGAACATACCTGCTTTCCTAGGTATGTTCCCCTATGTCATGCTGGCCAGCAGAGACACATTGTTGGGATCGAATATGCTGGGAATGCAGGGTTTGTCCAATAACCCATGTCACCTGTGTCTGCAGACTAATACTGTCTGAGGAGATGACTAGCCTACTAGTGGTGCACTGGTGTGGGCTGATGCTGGACCTCACAGCTGGTTTCCTGCTCTTCTTCGATGCCTCCAGGACCATTGGCCTCCTCTTTGTGTCCTACTTCCACTGCATGAATTCCCAGCTTTTCAGCATTGGTCAGTACCTACAATCTGGTCGAAAACAGGAAACCACAGATTCACAGGGAGGAACTAGTCAGAAGCATTTTTGGGAGTGGGAGAAGGTGATGGGAACAGAAGCTAGACTGAGCCAGATGTAGTCACTGTGAAATGGAAATAAATGGGGAGGAGAGGATTGGGCTCCTGGGCTCGGTGTGTTGTACAGTAAGGAATCTGTGGAAGGGAGTATCCTCTGGTTAGGAACTTACATATCATCATAAATGGGAATACCTGGGAGAAGTGCCCTAAGGGAAGTAGGTTGAGAGAATTACCCATGTTCCTTCCCAAACTCTTTAAATGTGTCTTTTCTCCCTGCTTTCCTAGGTATGTTCCCCTATGTCATGCTGGCCAGCAGCCCTCTCTTCTGCTCCCCTGAGTGGCCTCGGAAGCTGGTATCCCACTGTCCCAAAAGGCTGCAAGAATTGCTGCCCCTCCAGACTGCCCCTCAGCCCAGTTCTTCCTGCATTTATAAGAGGAGCCGAGCTAAAGAGGGCCAGAGGCTGGGGTTGCGTCATCACCTAGCCACTGCCTTCACCCTGCTCTACCTCATGGAGCAGCTCTTCCTGCCTTATTCCCATTTCCTCACCCAGGTATGTATGGAAAGGGGTTAGCTTGGAAAGTGGCAGAGGTGACAGCGGGACTGGTGTTGTAGCCCTTCTTGGTCGAGGACGGAGTGTGAGAGCTGTGGAGCTGATTCCCTTTGCCCTGCCTTCTCAGGGCTATAACAACTGGACAAACGGGCTGTATGGCTATTCCTGGGACATGATGGTGCACTCCCGCTCCCACCAGCATGTGAAGATCACCTACCGCGATGGCCGCACCGGCGAGCTGGGCTACCTTAACCCTGGGGTGAGACCTCTGATGCTGACAATTTACTGTCATCAGCTTGAACTTCAGGGTCTGGGTTGATCCTAATCAAAATTATAAAATAAGACCAATCTGGGCCCTCCCGATCCCATCTCAGAAGCCAGGTTAAATCTCTTTATGTGTGAATTGCTGTAGGACAATGCATTCCATTTCCTTGAACTGAAACTAGATTTAGGAAAGTTATGTGTCACACTAGCACAGCAATGAGAAAATCTCCAAACACAAGTTCAGATGTGTTTTTCTTTTCCTGGTCCAGATGGGCAGCAGGCAGGGATCGCTTTGTGCTGTTGGCAGTGCGTGGCCTGTCCGGGAGGTTGAGGTTGCTAATGATGAGGTGGGACTAATGTGGGGGTTTGGGGCAGGTATTCACACAGAGCCGGCGATGGAAGGATCACGCAGACATGCTGAAGCAATATGCCACTTGCCTGAGCCGCCTGCTGCCCAAGTACAATGTCACTGAGCCCCAGATCTACTTTGATATTTGGGTCTCCATCAATGACCGCTTCCAGCAGAGGTGGGCAAGGGAGCAGAGAAGGGGGGAAAGTGAAATCCAGCTCCTTTTGCCAAGATGAATAGCCCATGCTCCCCAATATATCTTGCTTGAAAAGCTGCCTTCTAGTGCATGTCTCTGTTGACCTGGTTGTGGACATAGCTGATTGCTTCCAGTAGGGGGCACCAGAAGAAAAAGTAACTGACTTCTTTTAGAAACTGTTAACACAATTCTCCTCAGATGGCCACTAACCCCCATTCTTCCAGTGCATCAGACTCTCATTCCCACCTTCCTCTCGCTCAGACTGGCAATAACATGCTGACCTGGGCCATTTCTTCTATCTGGGAATGGCAGATAGAAGGAAGAGAGCCGGAAGTTCTGGTGGGTGGGTGACTGTGGCCTCCTTAGATCATGATTTTCTTCCCTAAGGATTTTTGATCCTCGTGTGGACATCGTGCGGGCCGCCTGGTCCCCCTTCCAGCGTACAGCTTGGCTGCAGCCATTGTTGATGGACCTGTCTCCCTGGAGGGCCAAGTTACAGGAAATCAAGACCGGTCTGGACAACAACACTGAAGTGGTCTTCATTGCGGATTTTCCTGGTATGGAGGAAAACAAGGGGCAGCTTTGTGGTCTTTCCTCCTGGCTCCCTTGGCCAAGAGCGTTACATGTGGTAGACGGATAGATAACACTGGTGGGAAGAATGTTTTCGAAATCTGAGGGATAGTAATGGTGACTATGTTACGCCTCTGTTCTGGCCTGAGTGAATTTACTCTACTACTGGTGGGACATGAAACTTTGTTGCCCCTGGCAGGGCTGCACCTGGAAAATTTTGTGAGTGAAGACTTGGGCAACACTAGCATCCAGCTGCTGCAGGGGGAGGTGACTGTGGAGCTGGTGGCAGAACAGAAGAATCAGACTCTTCGGGAGGGAGAAAAAATGCAGGTATTTTGCTGGGATCAGCAATGGCAGGATGTTTAGACGAGTGGAGTTTATTTTAAACTCAAAATGCTTTCCATTGAAGCAATGCAAGGGCCCCTGGGACTGTTAATAGCCTCATCCAGCATTCTAGAGGATACAATTCTGATGGACCCCAAAAACTTGATAAAAAAATATGTGCCTGAAGGGGTAATGCAGGGAGCCATAGGCTGGCTCAAGAAAGGTAAGAGTGAAATATATCCATTTCTTCTCCCTTATTAGTTGCCTGCTGGTGAGTACCATAAGGTGTATACAGTGTCCCCCACTCCTTCCTGCTACATGTACATCTATGTCAACACTACAGAGCTTGCACTGGAGCAAGACCTGGCTTATCTGCAAGAACTAAAGGAGAAAGTCGAGAATGGAAGTGGTGAGTATATGAACATTTGGGCTGAGATAGTCTCGGTTACAAAAAGTTAACGTTACAAATACAGATCTAGCTATTAAAGAATGAACTGAAGACCTCTAGCTGGTGAATGGGGAGTTCGCAGAGACAGTACAAGCTCTGTCATTGAGTTCTCTTTTTGCCATCTTCTGGGCAGAAACAGGGCCTCTACCTCCAGAACTGCAACCTCTGCTGGAAGGGGAAGTAAAAGGGGGCCCTGAACCAACACCTCTCGTTCAGACCTTTCTTAAACGCCAGCGAAGACTCCAGGAGATTGAACGCCGAAGAAATACCCCTTTCTATGAGCGATTCTTTCGCTTCTTGCTGCGAAAACTCTTTATCTTTCGCCGCAGGTAAGTTTTACCCACAGTATTTGTCATTGTCAGAAAAGTTTGCAAGCTGGGTAACTTTTTGCTAGTGGGGGTAATAGCAGAGACTCACCCAGGAAAAGATAATCTAGTACTAAATATCTTTTGCCCCCTTCAGTCTTCTCCTCCTGATCTAATGGAAGAGTAAAGGAGGACCTGTGTCTGGTGGCCTGCTGTTTTATTTTCCTCAGCTTATCTCTGACTTCCCTTTGGGTTATTCCTATCCCACCTTGGGATCCTTTACCAGATTGTATAAGGAGTGGTATGTCTGTCCAGCTGGGATGAGGGGAATTTTCACTGAGGGGGGTTTCTCATTTATGCCTGAGTGGAGCCTCATAGGGCTTTGGCAAGAATTCCTGTGTTGGAACAAGAGTTTGGACTGAATGAACTTTTTCCTCTTTTTCAGCTTCTTCATGACTTGTATCTCACTTCGAAATCTGGTCTTAGGCCGCCCTTCTCTGGAGCAGCTGGCCCAAGAGGTGTCTTATGCAAACTTGCGACCCTTTGAACCAGTTGGAGAGTCCAGCCCTTCAAACATAGATTCTTCAAATCCTGATCCTCCTGAGCCAAATTCGGAGCATGTCCACTCAGAATTCTGAGAGGGGCTGACATTGTTTATAGATGAAGTATCAGTTACAGGACCATTACCTCTACAGTAGAAATTGATTTGAAAAAATTATTTCAGATATTTCTAACATTTTTATTCCCTGTTCATAACTATTTTTAATTCAGAGATAATTAGGGTAGCCAAGGTAGTAAAGCAAGGATAAGATTTATGAATCTTAGGTTGTGGGGCTAGGAAAGGGTTAAAAGCAATGTGAAAATGTCCTTCTAGGATAAAGGGGTAAGAGACAGGTTTAAGTGACTGGCTCCTTGGAGAGAGATTTAAATGTACCATGATGAAAATAATAACAAACTGTTCTTAAGTGCTTGCTCTTTGCTAGGTATTGTGTAAAAAAGCACTGTGCCTATATTATTACACATAAGTCCTTAGTAGCCATTGCTTCATTTTATAGTTGGAAAAACTGAGACTGGGAAGTAATATAATTTTCAGATATATACCTTGTAAGAGATAAGGTTGATGATTTGAACCTCGTCTGTTAAGTTGTTGCATTCTGCCCCTTGTAATTTTCAGAATCACTGACAATGATTCTTAACTAATGTGGCTTAAAACTTGTCTTAATCACAAGTATGATTAGGATAGTGATCAAGTTATACATGTGGAATAATTTTCTTTCACTGCAATTCTAACCCTTTGTTCCTATTAACTATCCAGGCAGTTAAGTTTTTTACTAGCAGTTATGAGAATAGTTAGAATAGCACAAAGTTAAACTAGTAAGGTTAGATGATTCGTAGTATTTAGCTTTAATCTAGCCTTTAGGGAGCAGGTGGTATGAAGAAAAAAATCAACCAAATGAGGGATTAGGGAACGTTTACTTTGTAGGTTTGTGTGTGCTAGGCTTGGTGCTGGCTTATGCAGTAAGAATGCATAGGGGCTTTTTCGTTTTTTTTTTCTTCAAAGTCTCCCACTCTAGGAGCTCATGGTCTTATCAGAGATTGGCAGTAAAATTTCAGGCTTCTCTTCCCATATCCCAGCCCACTGTATCCTCATAGACAGTGGTCTTGGGATTCTTCCCTAGTTATCTCCCTTTTCACTGTACACATTTGAAATTACATCCAGTGATGCTTAAATCTTCCCTGTATTTAAGACCCATCTGATTAGTGCCACTTGGATGTTCCACTGGGCCATCACTGTCCTCAAGAGAACATTCATTTTCAGCTCAGACCTGCTTTATTAGCAAATGGCACCCAGTTTCCTTGACTTTTTCAAGCTGTTACCCTTGACTTTTTCTCACACCTCACATTTCAAAGCCCATCAATTTCACAATTTACTCCTTGAATCTATGAATTTCTACTACCTGTTATTTTAGCCTTTATATCAGAACCTACTTAGGGATAGGTCACAGTAGGGCCACCCTTTAGTTGTACAGGTTTGGCCTGAATAAGGGCACTTCCTTGATGCTTAAGTCCCTGTTCACACCAGGTATAGCATTGGGTGGGTTAGCAATGGCTGTACCACAGGGTGTCATCATTGGGGAGAAACGTTGCTATCCCTTTTTTTTTTTTTTAAAGATTTTATTTATTTATACAATCACTGGGTACAGTCAGCAGCACAGGAGGGTGAGAGAATTCACCGAGCCAGAGCAGGGAGCAGAGCAGGCAGAAGGACCGAAGTACACTGCTGAGGAGAGCAATGGGCAGCAGGAGAGGTCGTGCGCCATGTGCGACCCTCCTCCGGTGGCTGGGGAGCAGCCAGGGATCGAACCGGCGCTGTGGAGGCTTTGAGCAGCTCCGCACCCCAGCGCTCAACCACTTTGCCACCAGGGAGGCCCACGTTGCTATCCTTTTGCAGCTCTCAGTGCTAGTTTGTGGCACTCGGTCCTTCACTAGCTAATTCAGCTTTTTGCTGTTCCCTCCCTTGCTTGAAAAAAGCATTTTCTTAATATAGGCAGGGTTACCTCCTGCCCCAAACTACCACCTGACTCACCCTGCTGTTTGTTGGGAGGCAGGCTTATTAATAACTAAGCCTGGAGATCTAGGCTGTTCAGATTGTTGAAACTAGGCCCTGTTGCAATTATCTGTTCTGAAAATGGGCTATCAATGTCCTTAGCTGCTTTCTTTAATCCTACTCCCAAGATGTGACTCTTTTGTCCCTGACCATGTTCTCCCCGTCTGTAACTCACTTGTAATCACCCTCATCCCTTGGCTCACTGGTGAATATTCCTCTGCCTTACTTAGGTTTCATTTGGGCTTGCCCCCCCCCTCCCCAGCTGGACAGGACAAAGGCCTTAACTTCCTACCAACTATGGAACCTAAAACCATTACTTTTCCACAAAACAGAACCACTTATCGTTATTCTCACCTCACCAGCAGGGGTAGACAGCAATGCACTGGCATCTAACCTTTTTGAAATCTTTAGTGCCAGTTAATTCTCATTTGAGCAAATTTTATGTTGTTTGCAAACTGTTATTACCTAGTCGAATTTAACCTTGCCTCCTCATCGCAAGATTCCAAAATTTCTAAGCCTCTAGCCAAACAGGTATAAAAAAGCAAGCATTCCTTGAGACATGTAGGCCAAGGTAAAATGTTTCACCACACCTGATTTTACACATGGTGGTATAAGCATATACAAATGGCTGCCTATTATATCTTAGGTCTTAAGCTCAATAAAGGATGGGCCCATGTGGTAGATCAATCTTCCACCCAAAGTTTAGAGTAAGCTTTTATAAGTTTGTAGCACCTTTACCGTTAACTGTCAGAAATAAATTTCATTTTAGTTCATGTATTGTGTTACAGGATTAAAACTGACCCCTCACCGGTCTGAACATTTCACACTAATCCGTAACATGTAGCTTCATAGATGACTATGTTAGATATGTCAGATAAATTCAATTTTTTCAAGTTAGTTAAATTACTTTGACACATGACCCCCCTCCATTATGATTTTTAATGTACTGTATCTTAAAAGTCAAAAACACAACTTGCAGCATAGCAATGGGATGCTGCAAGAGAGCAACTTTGGCCATCACATGGACCAAAAAGACAACATGCTGGACAAAGCAAAATCAAACCTTAAACTGTCTTCTTAGTACCAGGGACAGGATCTACAAAACTATTAAATGCCTGCATTAAGTCCCTCATCCATGAGTAGGAATGTAATTATTGAGGACTGAAAGTACATGCATAGACCATATTCTTAGATCACACTCATTACTGAAACACTTTTAAAGAACAATGGACACAGTTAAGGTAGAACCTAGCGTTTTATTTAGATCTTCATTAAACTGTTGGAATTGAGAACCAGACATACGTAATAAAACCTCCAAAAATAGATCCTGAAAGGCACTTTCTGCTTAGGGCAAGCAGTCATGGAATAAGCATGTAAACAAGCTGGCTTCTCTGTACCACACCAGCCAAGTCAGCTTTCTCCATGCCAGCCGCACCAGCTCTGCCCTCCCTTCTGTTAACACCAGCCAGACCCCCTGTAGGTCTAACCCAAGGTTTTTCTGTAGGACACCTTGGCCTACCTGGGAATGCTGGAAAACATGTTGTTAAAGGAATCATGGTGTTGAGGAAAAAAAAAAATCTTTTAAAAGCTGCCATCTGAGGTGATAGCTTCTCTGTACTTACGCCATACCCCAGAATACAATAAATAAGCAATTAGAAAATGTTCAAGTATGAAGGGATTTCCTCCTCCCCGCCAAAAGCACTGCTCTCTGAAGGAAGCTGGTTTCTCTGTAGCTACACCAGCTGTTCAGAAAGCTCATTGGACCTGGTTTTGAAAATAAAACAAAGTTAAAACCCTGGGAGGAGTTATTGTGCAGTGTGGAGTACTCAGTCTTTCTTATAAAGAAAAAAAAAAGTTAACTGGTACCAAAGTGTGCAACCTACAGACCCTCAGGTACTTCCCTGTGACTTCTCTGTATGACATCACAAGGGTGCCAAGTGCCTGTTTTTTTTTCTAGAGCTAGGAGTTGGTGGTTTGGCTAGTGCTGAGACCATGCATAGGATTGGTTTACTAAATAAAACCCTTATTACGTACGTCCTCCAAAAGACAGCTGAAAAGTGGAGAGATTTTGATTTGGTGCTGTTTAAGAGATGGCAATTAAGAGCATAAGCACCAGAGAGATGGTTTAATGGTAACTGCCTTTTTTTTTTTTTTTTAAATGTCAGGCTAGAGCTCCAACTGGAACTTGCGTTACATGCAAGACTGATTGGATAGGGAACACTCCCTGACAGAAGAGCTACATAATTAGAAGTGGATCAAGTTATAGGGAGGATAAGGGAAGGCTTCACATTCATAATAGAGCTGAAGACATTACAAATTCATGCTGACAGGGCTATGGCATTGCCAGACAGAAGGCTATACTGGAACTACAAGTACGTGCACAAGACATTTTCAGCATTTGGTGGGAACGTCAATGCAACTAGGATTTTAGAGGGTTGGGTGCTAGGGCACAAAGGTTCATTTTCAAAGCATTATTTACTACAGTGTTGTTGGTTTGTTTCTAGGCAGTTACATGGATCACCTATGCTCACTAAATTCATTATAATGGTGAACAAAACACCTAGGGACAGAATAGCAAGCCCAACTTACAGTCCCCCACACAAGCTAAAATTCATGTCATTAACTAGAGTGACTGCAACTGATCAGGAGCTGAAAAGAGGACAGGAAAATTTAGGAAGAAGGGCCCTTTCCCTCAGAGCTTGAAGGCTTCTCTGTAGCCTACGCCAACAAGTCTGGGGAAAAAAGGCTAACACTTTCAATATTTAAGTTTTTTGGGCACTTCCCATGGGAAGCTGTCCCTACCAAAGTGGCCATAGGCTGCAGTCCTCTGATAAATTGGCTTCTTCAGATCCAGATCCCTGGAATATACAAGTCCGTAACTTAATATGTAGCATTCAATTAAAACAAAGCAAAACAATCAGCAAGACTCATTTTCAAGAGTTCTGGCAAATGAGCAGTTCTCTGGGGTTTGCTAGGAAAGAAGTTTTATGGCAAAAGTGTTTGTTACTTCCTGGTGTCCAAACTCCTTGCACAGTCCTTATTAGTAACTACAGTTCTTGTTTTTTCCGTCCCTGGCTCAACAAATAATGAAAACTTGTCATCATTCTGAGAAATTTCAAATGTCAAAAGCTCATCTGAGATAATGAAATACTTACCAAGGTCCCATGCCCACACCCTGCCATGGTTATTTTCTTATTTTCTTTATAACAGCCTTGAACATCCCATTTATCTGTACTAATTTCTTCTTCTTCAAAAAAAGAAATCATACTTAGGCAATATGAGCACAAAGCCCAGTATCAAATATCGAGGACTTTCTAGGGTGGTTAGTCTAAGCCATGGAGTGCTAAAATTTTAGATTGTTCTCATTAAGTCTGCTGAACACAACTTATACGATGAACACATTCTAGGAAGATGTTTTCCCCACTCGAGTCTTCCTTCACTTTCTCAAATTTGAACATCTCAGGATACCCACACCCTCAATATTTTTCACTAACAATAGGCTTTACCATCTTTACCTGACAATGACCCCAGGGCGGAGATCAAAATTCTTCTTCACAATCTCTAATAGCTCTCTCTCACTCTTCTGAGAGGTGCCATAATGGAAAATGGAGATAGACAATGGATGAGAAACTCCAATAGCGTAAGAGACCTGAAAGAATTCAAATATCAGAAGAGTCAGTGATCAAAACACCCACATAAAACACAACAATGGCATAAAAGACAAGTAGGTTACTAAAATGCCCTCCCACTTACAAGCATTTAATCACTCTAAATTATATAAAAGCATATACCTGAACAAGAACCCTTCGGCACAGACCTCCTTTAACAAGGGATTTTGCCACCCAACGAGCGGCATAAGCAGCTGAACGGTCCACCTTGGTATAATCCTTTCCTGAAAAGGCACCTCCTCCATGAGCTCCCCAACCACCGTAAGTGTCCACAATGATTTTCCGGCCAGTCAAACCAGCATCACCCTGAAAACACAGGATTTGAGTCACTTTATGCCTAATCCTCTTCAACAAGCAGTTTTAGATCAGGTTTGTTAAATGCCTATTTATATTACTCAGCAAATATCCTCAGAAGATTCACATATGGGGCTTCAGAAAACCTAGAAGAAAGATGGTAGCAGCAAAATTTTTGCAAGTAACCACCACAGAAGACCTACAAGCACAGAACTGATATAAGGCCTTACCTGAGGCCCACCAATAACAAATCTGCCACTTGGCTGTAGATGATAGACTGTATCCTCATCAAGATACTTTGCAGGTACAACAGCTTTGATGACCTTCTCCTTTAGGGCATCCCTCATTTCATCAAGACAAACTTCTTCATCATGCTGAACAGATATAACTATTGTGTGGACTCTGATGGGAAGCACAGCACCTCGATCCTGCATATACTGCACAGTCACCTTGAAGGCAACACAGAACATCAGTCTATCAAGCAACTTAGTTCTTGATTCTGTACCCTAAATTGTAATACATGCAAGACATACTAGTCTTGTTCAGATTGTGTGCCAATGTAATATGTGTAATCTAGCTTTGATTATCACTTACTTGAGTTTTAGAATCAGGGCGTAACCAAGGCAAAGTGCCATTGCGACGTAGTTCAGCCAGTTTGGCATTGAGCTTGTGTGCTAAGACAATAGTTAAAGGCATACATTCCTCTGTTTCATCAGTGGCATAACCAAACATCAAACCCTAAACAAAAAAATCACCAATGTCAACAATCCAAATTTTCATAAATTAATGTTGTAAGAGATGTAAGTAGTGTCAATACCAAGATACCTGGTCTCCTGCACCAATGTCTTCCTCATTTCGGTCAAGATGAACACCTTGAGCAATATCTGGTGACTGTTGCTCCAATGCTACTAGCACATTACAAGTCTTGTAGTCAAACCCTATAAAAAAGACAATGTTTTGTTAAAAAAAATCTTCTATGTGACAATTATCTGGGATTCTGAATATCGCTGAAGAAATCCAATATACCTAAAACTAGTACCTTTCAAAGAATATAATAGAGCTGGGACAAAAAAATTAACCCCATACAACTAGAGTTAGATTAACAGGAACATTTTAAATGCGAGTAGGGTTTATAGAAACCATCTGAAAAAAGCAAGTCTTAGGAAAAAGCTAAGCTACTAGAACATACCTTTGGAAGAATCATCATATCCAATGTGTTTAATAGTTTCACGAACCACTTTCTGGTAGTCAACAGCAGCTCTAGATGTAATTTCCCCAGCAAGTAGTATCATTCCAGTTTTAGCAACAGTTTCTAATAAAAAAGAGGTTTCACGCTCAAATCTCAATTTACAAATTTTGTATTATCTTTTCATCAGTTTATAAGTAAGCAATAGTCTGAACCTACCACAAGCCACTTTGGCATCAGGGTCCTGCTGAAGGTGGGCATCAAGGACAGCATCACTGATCTGGTCACAAATCTTATCTGGAGGGGAAAAAGAAGTCCTGGCTCAACTTTTAAAGTAAAAGCATGTCCACTTCCCTTTAGCTACACCTGTAAAGCTCATTGGGACAGAGCTTTCTTTAAAAAAAAAAAAAAAAAAGCGGCAAAACTTAGTAATAAATTCAGTGACACTAAGTATGTACATCTTCACCGCTGTCTACTTAAAGCACTGCATTACCAGAAGTCATTAGTCATTGGCCTGAAGAATGCTAGGTACAGTGCTGCATGTAGTTGAAAACTTGACACCAGGATCTTAATATAGCTGTGCCACAAGCTTACCAATTCAGTAAGCCATAACACTCAACAAGTTTAATACATTTTAACTCATGTGCACTTTAAATATGTGCACTTTAAACATCACAAGGGTGTCAGTCTATCTCTTAAAGTATTGCAAACATTTTGAAAAATGAAGTTCCCAAGCAAAACAATTTCCACTGCAAAGTAACAGCCACGTGTGAACTTAAGAAACATTTTGCTTTACAGTGTTAATTTTCAAATACTCCTTGTATCTTATCCCCTAAATTTAAAGTTTGCCTTATAAAGCTAACCAACCAATAGAGTAAGTCGTATTTTTCCTACCCATTTCTTAAGAAGTCTTAATTTTGCCCAAGTCATTCAATATTTACTTCTACAATATGTACCAAACCCCTGTGCACTTGGAGGTCAGGGAGAACAGAGGCTGACAGCAAACCAGCCTCCTTGATTTTAAGTAACACCAGTTAAGTAACAAGAAATGTCAAAGAATTAAACAATGAATGCAAAGACACATAAACAAATGGACTAAAACAAAAAATCTTTAATTTCATTGTAAAGGTAGTCCCAGCACAAGAGCTCGACTGGGAAATGCCCACAAGTATTCCAAATCCTAGTTGCTGTTCTCCCCACTGTACTGCCAGCTATTAAAAACTGAAAAAGGGACAGCGGTTAAGACCTCACTTTCCCGAATTTTCTCTAATCATCCAAAACACAAAGCAAATTGTAGGCTGCAATCCAGTTAGAGGCTTCAATTAAATGCACAAACTTAATAAAAAACCGCGTACACCACACCAAAACATCTGCTCTTCACTCATCAGGATCTGGGGTTTGTCCACTCTGCGGCACGAAGTGACCGGTGGGATTTCATCTTAGGCAGAGACTTGCTACAGAGACATGGGTCCTTCAGCCACAGACTAGATAGAACTATTGTCACTGAGGTCACCCTAAGAGCAGAAGCAAAACCATGATCTTCACTAGGTGATGCTTTCAGGCTGAGACTGGAGCTTCCTTGAAACAGCTTCATTTGTTCACGTGTAAACTGATCCATAATGGCGGATCAGTGGACAAAGCCGGGGAGGAAATGTGTAAAACCTTACCTAAGGGTAAGTAGCGAACACTTTAAAAGGAAACCCAACGCAACGGCAGCTTACCCTTAATTCACGTTTCCTTATCCTTTCACAGAAGGCCCAAATAAGGCCTGCCTTCTCCAACAGGCGCTATATTTAGTTGGAGGCTGTCACCTTGAAGACAAGGCCACACTTTCTGCCTGAGGCCTAAGGGCATGTCCGTCCTCTTTACTAAGTGGTAACGGCCCAGGCCACGGCGTTCATGCAAACACCAGGCGTCCCGGGGCACCGGCCCCCCACTTCTCCACCCCGGGCGGCCGGCCGGCGCCCCCTCG